AGCAATGTATCTCATCAAGAACTTCGGCTCCCATACCTTGTAGTACGACAATTCGATCGGACTTAAACAGTAGCCCATCCTCAACACTTAGCTTTACTCTATAGTTAAAACATTCCTGTGCTAATTCATCTCTTTGTCCTCGATCTGAAGGCCAGCCAGTGAAATCATAATCCATAACGACATGCGAGATTTTATCAAAATTAATATAACTTCGGAACTTAGATAGAGCATCATAGTCAGGTCTTAATTGTTCACTAAGTTTACTTGTATCTCATCACTGTCATCGTAGAGTTGCTCTGTTATACATAGAGGTGCTCTGCTCAGACAGCCACTATAAACTTGCTGCTTTTCGGGAACGTAGCACACTCAAATCATACTTGGTAGGTTTAAAAGCATGTGCTGTAACCTGGGTAGGACCTTATTAAGTCGTTTTTTAAAAATTGACTACAGCGGCTTGTGATCTGTTTCTACGACAGCCATCCGACCATATATGTATGTATGAAACTGTACCCCCTTCCTCGCCCCAGGTAATAACCAGTAATTCTCTTTCAATGTTTGCATAACGTTTTTCTGCACTAGTACGTGTACGAGAGCCGTATGCAACTGGTTCCCGTCCTGTATTACAACCGCTTCTAAGCCTGTGCTGCTGGCGTCAACATTCAAAGTTGTCTGTTTGCTGTAGTCAAAATAACACAGGATAGGTGAACTACTAATAACACGTTTGAGCTGTTCAAATGCATTTTGTTGGGTGTGTCCCATATAATAACTGCATTCTTTTGTAGCACCTGGTAAATTGGTCCTTGAATTGCTGCTTAGCTCTAAATATATTTTTCAAGGTAGTTCACTGTTCCTAGCAGGCGATGCACCCATAGTATTGAATGTTCGTGCTATTGAATGTTATTATTTATTTTTATAAAGGAACAAGAACGAATCCTACAAATGTGGAGATAAGCTATCATATATTTTTTGTATAGACTAACTGACCAAAAAAGTTTGACGCTGGTAATAAAATGACGCACATCTGTATTCGAATGTAGCCGACAAATAGCTCTCTTCGTCAATAGTTATAAAAAACATCCTTGTAGGAGCCGATAAGTGACAACCACAGTTGACTCGCTGTTATGCATTTTAGGTTTTCACCTTTATTTTAATTATAAAATCGTTTCCCAAATGCCAAGTACACAAATGCTTTTTCTCACTCTTTCTTCTAGGGGTGAAAATTAAAAATTTTCTGAAAATCAGTCGATTTCTGTAAATCTCAACGGAAATAGGTCCATTCTGCCATTTTAGGCATCATCCGGTATCTAAAGCCGTGATTGAAATAGCCGCCAAAGAACAGAGAATACATCGAAGGGCAACTGCGGGTGAGACGCGTGGCGTTTTTGTGCGCATGCTTTATGTCAACCATTACTCTGGCCAGTAACTTGCGGTTTCAGAATATAAGTCACCTCGGACGTAAAACATTTAGGAAGATCATAAAGATTGTGACAAAATTTGATAGAAACAAGGTGAGAGATCATTATTTCATTGCTAACAAGTACGTATTGGCTTTTTATTGGTAAAATTGAACTGTTTCAAGGTTTCTCATTGAGTTGTAAATAAGGTTATGTGTATGAAAGTATGAAGTTGAATCCATCTGTTTTCGTCAATTCTAAATTAGAATTTCGAATTGTGTGAGGTGTAGTTATAAAGGTATAAGTACGAAGATGACGGACACACGTACTTGTATGAACGCTGCAATATTTCATGTTGCAAGATGATACTTCTAAACTTACTATAAAAACAAATTTGAAGAGGGATTATCCGTTTTGATCATATAAGAGTTTGAACAAATTATTTTCGTTTTTATTCCAAAGACATCATCAGACTTATGGTTAATGGCTGCGAAACGCATATATTTACAAGCTTAAATATATAACTGTTTCGCAGCCTGCATTGTAAACCATAAGCCTGATGATGTCTTTGGAATAAAGACGAAATATTACACCATCTTTTGTTTCAAACTCTTGTAATATCTTGAATATTAAGAAAACGAGATATCCCTCTTCGGAATTTGTTTTATTTTGTATTATTTGAAATTATCTGCTCAACAAAAAAGCTACTATTAAAAGTGCAAGGTGCATCAAATCATGAATATGCATCCACAAATGAAAGACACTCCTCAATATCACAATTGAAGTGTTTTTATTTTTTTGCAAGCATTTATAAATATTTGCGAACAGTGTTTTTATTTTTGATAACATTTGGAAACAAAATAACGAACCGAGAAATAGCAATGAAGACGCGTCAAATTGACTCCTGTGATAGATTTTATTATGAAATAATAGCCATCAAAAGCTTAAAACAAACCAAATATTTCACAATGGATTAACTTTTCTTCAATAGAAATTATTCATAATGATTAGTTATATAATGTATACACATTATTTTGTTTCAAACTGTTGTAATATCTTGAATATCAAGAAAACAAGATTTCCCTCTTCGGAATTTGTTTTATTTTGTATTATTTGAAATTGTCTGCTTGTCCTGGTTACCAAACTTACTATATAAAGTAATTAACTAAGGGAGATTTTGTTTTATCACTTAAGCATGAGTGAATAGTTAAATATGTCAGGCATTTTGTTATCAAAGATTATTTTAGAGGTGTTTAATTTTTACCATCATTATAATTTTGTTTCAAAGCACTTTGTGCTCTGTAAAATTTATTACCCAAAGCTATAATTGATTTTCTGATTTTTTTCTAGTTGCTGGCCAAGTCCTTGCTTGATTATAAAGTGAGGATTGTGTTGCAAGTGATTTGTACTATGAAGTATTTCATCCAAAGACCAGCAGGGTTTGTATTGTTAACAATGAAGCATTTAATTTTTTAAATTCAAATGTATACACTGGTTTTATGTATTCTTTATTCTGTACATTCTGTTATGTTTATTAATTTATGTTAATTTAATAGGATTTACGTTATTAGTTATGTTAATTGTTATAAGCCTAAATATATAAAAAGGAGTTAACTTGTACTATCTAGGCAGTGGTAAAATACACATAAATGAAATATAAAACACTACAGTTGGCGACAAAGATTCGATTCTGATGGACGAAGAAGCCCAAAGTACACAGACAACTGTTGGTTTTAATGTGCCCTTTATGGGACATATGGAAGAATATTCAACGAGTACAGATTGGAAGCAGTACGTTGAGCGGCTTGAAATATTCTTCGAAGTAAATAATGTACCAAGAGAAAAGCAAGCCTCGAGCATACTTACCTTGATGGGTAGTAAGATGTATGCGTTGTTAAGATCAATTACAGCACCCAGAAGACCAAAAGAACTTACATATAACCAAATTGTAGAAACTTTAACACAACATCTTGAGCCAAAACCAATAGTTATTGCTGAACGATATAAGTTCCACAAGGCTGAGCAAGGACAAGCGGAATCGATTAGGGAATATCTTGCCAAATTGCAGAGATTAGCATAAACATGTGAATTTGGGAGTTATCGAGACGAAGCAATTCGAGATCGATTTGTTTGTGGATTGCGAGATCGATCGATTCAACGTAAGCTACTAGGCGAAGTTGATTTGACTTTAAAGTCTGCGGTAGAAAAAGCTTGTGCGGCTGAATTAACGGAGAGAGAAACATCAGCGTTACACGGAGAATTACTGAACCGAGTGCAAACAGCATCCCTCGAGTGTTTTCGCTGTGGAAGGAAAAATCATTCTCCCGATAAGTGTTATTTTCGGAAGTCCAAATGTCACGGTTGTCAAAATTATGGACATATATTAAAGAAGTGTCCCAGGAGAGATGGCAACAACATGAAGAATACAAAAAGTGAAAAGTCGAGAAGGGAAGATGCTAAGAAAAGAAGAAAAAAATCCAACGAAATTCACAACGTTAAAACACATAGCAACGTTGGCAGTGACAGCGAAAGCCAAGAAGAAGAGATGAAAACATGGCCGGTGTTCACATTAACTGATTCGAGAAAGAAATGTAAAGAGATGGAAGTATTAGTCCTAATGGATGGAAAGTCAGTAAAGATGGAAGTGGACACGGGAGATGCGGTATCAACTATGCCAGAAAATGTGTGGAGAAAGGTGTTGTCTGCAAAATGCATACGCAAGTCCAACGTTAGACTGCAAAGTTATTCTGGGCATGAAGTTCCAGTGAGGGGAGAAGTAGACGTTTGCGTTGAACATGGAAAACAAAAAGCTAAGTTACCAATTGTAATAACTCAAAATAAAGGTCCTGTGTTGTTGGGACGAAATTGGCTGGCAGTTTTAAAGCTTAACTGGAGTCAAATAAAACAAGTAGTGGCAAAACCTGTCAAAAATGTGGAGCAATTAATAATTCAATATGCGTCCTTATTTGACAATTCGTTGGGGACAGTAAAAGGAGTTAAGGCACATTTATACATGAAACCAAACTCAAATCCAAAGTTTTTTAAACCTAGATCAGTCCCGTTTGCGCTGAAAGACAAGGTAAAGGAAGAAATCTACCGTTTAGAGAAACTTGGGGTCCTAGAAAGGTAGAGTTTTCAGATTGGGCGACGCCAATCGTGCCAGTGTTGAAACCTGATGGTAGTGTACGGATTTGTGGCGATTATAAAGTGACCATTAACCAAAGTCTAGACGTTCAAGAATATCCAATGCCGACAGCTGAAGAACTATTTACAAAGCTACGAGGAGGCGAGAAATTTTCAAAGATAGATCTGTCGGCAGCATATCAGCAAGTTGTTTTGGACGAAGAACCACAACGTTATGTTACAATTAACACACATTTGGGTTTGTATAGGTATACAAGACTGCCATTTGGAGTTGCAGCTAGCCCAGCTATTTTTCAAAGAACGATGGATATGGTTTTGAATGGTTTGCAGGGAGTAGGAGGTATACTTGATGATTTGATAATTACGGGTAAAAATGATGAAGAACATTTGCGGAATCTTGAGAGAGCACTGAAACGTCTTCAAAATATGGGAATCAAATTGAAGAAATCAAAGTGAGTTTTTATGCAACCTTCAGTGGAATATTTCGCATTTGTCGTGGATCGACAAGGAATCCATCCATCGCCTCGTAAAGTTCAAGCTATAAGGGAGGTACCAACTCCGGAAAATCCAACAGAATTGAAGTCATTTCTGGGGCTAGTGAACTATTATCGTAAGTTTATTCCAAATATGGCAAAGTTGGTTAATCCTCTGAATTGTTTACTGTCACAAGAAGTTACTTGGAAATGGTCGGAAGAACGTCAGAAATCCTTTGAGAATTTAAAAGTCCTATTGGAAACGGCACCAGTATTAACACATTACGACCCCAAGAAACCCGTGAGATTAGCGACAGATGCCTCATCGTGTGGAATAGGTGCTGTTCTATCAAATGTATCGGACGAAGGAGAAGAAAAACCAATAGCTTATGCCTCGAGAACACTTTCTTCTAGTGAGCAAAACTATTCTATGATCGAGAAAGAGGACCTTGCAATTATTTTTGGATTGAAGAAGTTTCATCAGTATGTGTATGGAAGACGTTTTTCTTTAATCACAGATCATAAGCCGCTTACTATGATACTGGGACCTAAACGGGGTGTTCCTGTCTTGGCAGTCTCCCGCTTGCAGAGATGGGCGATTCAACTGGGTGCATATCAGTATGGTATTGAATACCGAACTTCAAAGAACAATGCGAATGTTGATGCGTTGTCCCTGTTACCTAGGAAAAATGTTGAAGAACCGGACGAATGGGAGGAAGAGGCAGCGGCAGTAAACAGCGTTCAACTGAAGCGGTCACCTGTTTCAGTAAGTATGTTTAGAGAAGCTACGCAAAAAGATTCAGTATTGTCTCGTGTAGTATACTATCTGTTACATGGTTGGCCAGAAGGAAAGTTACCAGAGGAACTACAATATTTCTTTACAAAGCAAGACGAGTTTACTGTAGAAGAAGGATGCCTATTGAGAGGAACCCGAGTGGTAATTCCAACCAAATATCAAGGAGTGGTGTTGTCGGAGTTGCATATAAATCATCCAGGAATGGTGCGGATGAAATCTTTAGCACGTTTACATGTGTGGTGGTCAACATTAGACCAAGACATTGAACAGACTGTGAGAGATTGCACCAGTTGTCAATTTAATCGCTGTAAATCTCCACTTAAAGTAAATAATCCATGGATTTGGCCTGTACGTCCATGGCAACGAATTCATGTCGACTTTGCAGGTCCAGTCGAGGGTGACATGTATTTAATAGTGGTAGATGCTAAGTCTAAATGGATGGAGGTTATATCTATGTCATCAGCCACCGCTGCGGCAACAATACAAGCATTAAGATCTTTATTTTCAGTTCATGGTCTACCGGAAGAGATGGTGTCAGACAATGGTCCACAATTTGTTGCGCAGGAAATGAAAGATTTTCTAAAAGGCAATGGAATTCAAATGCACTTATCTTCACCGTACCACCCTGCTTCAAATGATGAAGCGGAAAGAGCAAGGAGAACATTTAAAGACTCCATGAAGATTCGTAAGAATGAAGAAGGATCTCCTGGAGAGAAATTAGCAAGATTTTTGTTAGGATATCGTACCACACCACATACAGCAACTGGATGTACACCTGCAAAAATTCTTATGGGTCGACGACTTAGAACAAGATTAGATGTCTTGCATCCCAGTCTGGCAAATAAAATGGATAAGAAATCACATCAATTACCGAAATTGACAAAGCGTAAGTTAGAAATTGGAGATCCAGTGATGATAAAAGATTATAGAGCAAGAAGAGATCGTTGGATACAGGGAGTAATTCAAATGAAGTTAAGCCCAATTACGTATCGAGTGTTGGTGGACGAGGTATTGTGGAAAAGACATATTGATCAATTGCGAAGTCTGGCAGAATCAACAGTTCCAGATGGTAAGACAAAACAAGATGCTGAGAAATATCCCTCCAACTTGGAGACAAAAAAAAGTCTGGTGCTCGATGAAAATACAGTGTCTAAACATATCAACCAAGAGATATTCAAAGAACCAACTCTAAGTACCACAACGACCTTGAAAACCACGCCTCTACCGCAGGTACAGACCTTACCTGACAAGATAACCAAAGAGCCCGGTAGTTGTAATGACAGTGAACAAGTATCAAACACTCGCCGGTATCCTCTGCGTAATCGCACGAAACCAAAACGTTTAATTGATGAAATATAGTTTAGTTTGATAGATCGTAATCAATCCCGAACTTTTAGGAAAATAACACTACAAGTTAGCTAAAGAACTATTAGAATTGTGCCGGAGGGAATATTATGTTTATTAATTTATGTTAATTTAATAGGATTTACGTTATTAGTTGTGTTAATTGTTATAAGCTAAAATATATAAAAAGGAGTTAACTTGTACTATGTAGGCAGTGGTAAAATACACATAAATGAAATATAAAACACTACACATTCTACTGCATAACATACACACATTTTAAATTAAAACTGTTTTGTGATTGTTAAAACTTTTTATACACAGTATTGATCATCAAGGGCAAAGACCTGTTTTTTGAGATATAATTAGTGTAAAATGAATATAGTAAAGTAAAATTTTTATTTATTTCTTACATTTTTACAACTCAGAAACTCTTTGATAGAATAGGTTTCTAAATGTAATTCAATTATGACAACCTTTTCTAATCCCTAATGCCCCCCAAAATTGGGAATAAGGCAAGTTGTGGATGTTTCTGACTTTTCATCTGGAAACTATGCCATTGTCCTAGACTTCATGCTGGATGAGTATTCTAAAGCTAAAAAAATAAAGTGAACCGAAAGAAAGCTGTCCAAGTCACTCCAGTTCCAGAACCGCATGCCTTAGCAATTGGTCCTTACTGACTACCAGGAGCTAAACAGTTGGAGATAATATCATGAAAGACAATGCCAATGCATATATGTCAGTTCTTCTTCTTATGAAGTGTTTCAAGCTCCGCATTATTCTTAAAATCACTAATGCCTCCCATAGAACTGAAATGGATGATAACAAGCTGTCATTCTGACACTTTAATATTCGAATGGAGAAATACGAACAGTTGATATTTCTACTTCAAAACCCAAGGTAAATTAATGCCTCAAAATATCAATCCAAACACAGGCCTCAAATATTTGATCAATGTTAGCGCCAATAGGAATGAAAAACTTTGTACGTACTATCTTTCTTGGCAAAAACTAGTACGTTTTGATAAAATTCTATTAGAGCTTTTTCTGCCATAATACTAATAACATATTTCATGCGCACAATCTCCTATTTTTATTTGTTGTGTGAAAAGCCAAATAAGAACTAAAAACATGCGTATTGCGTATCACGAATACGCTTGATGCGTAATATTTATAGGAGAAAAGTAAATAAACATTATTAGGAAAAAATAAAATCTTTTATTATATGGCAAGCGTCACTTCCGGCAAATTGGCGCGCTTTGATTGGCACAGAAACATTTTTGCCGGTCCATTATTTTCCCGTAATCGAGCACGGTCCAAAACAAGTAATTATACAGTCAAATATAAACAAACTTCGTAAAGCAAACAGTAAAAAAGCAAATAAAAACTGAAACAAAAAGTCATTTGTGAATGTGAGTTGACTGAAAAAAACACTAGGAAAATAGTTTAACTAACCAGAAAATACAATTTGAAACGATTTCTTTTTTACTAACAAAAAATAGAAAAATAAAAGTCAGCCCGTACAAAACAGCAAAGACGAGAAAGATAGCAAGCTACGTTTCGGGTCAAATAATGCCATATAATAAACCTTTAATAACCTCGCTTTTTCGGTCTTACTACTTTGAGAAATATCGGACCTCGCCGGCAGGCTTAGAGTTAATGAATTTTCTAAAGATAATTTTTTAACGTAAAAAATGTAAATGATGCTCGAAAATGATGTATTTTATAACGTTGTATGTTAAAATGATATTTTCGTCTATTTTTATCATCTTCTGCCTAATAATAGTTTGTTGGATCATCCTTGATGCTTGCCGATTACATTTCTTCGCGAAAATACTTGCTAAATATCAGCTAAGCGTGTTACAACGCAGAAAATATGTCAGAAAAATGACTGTAAATAATTTTCTTTAAAGGTATTCCCTTGTCTAAAGTTAAACAGACATTGGTCGTCAGGAAAACACGCATTATTTTAGAGCTGGAAGCTCACAAATTTTAGATGTATGTTACCTCCAACCAATCACGGAACAAAAATATAGCCGTTATTGTTCCAGTTTAGTTATAATTTAATGGACAATAAACCAAATAGTTTTACCTATGTACCTGTTCACATTTGCTATTGATAAGAACGCACAACATCATGACACTTAGATACTATCACTTTGTACTTGTGAATGCTTTAAATTTTGAGGACGCAAATCAAGTAACAAAATAAGACATATAGAAATAACAATAGCTATTTTCAATAAACGAAAAGTATGCACGGCCTAACAATTGACAACTTAGTGAAAAGTGCAAACATTATTTATTCTAAATCTTTCCAGAAGTATTATAAAGGCATTATTGGTAAAATAAGTGAGCATTTAAAATTACAAGCGTTTGTTCATAATATTCAGTATAAACAAAATAACTAACGAAGATTATAAAATAAATGAGATTAACAAGTCTCGCAGACTGCTCCTAAAAGTTTTTTAAAATCCGTTTTCCTGTTCTCACAGCAAAAACGTAAACTAAGTGGGACCTCATTCTGGAATGATTGAAGGCATCCTGGTTGAAAGTCACGCCACTTTACTGGACACGCTGTACCAATAGAACATATTGTGATATTTAAGCTCATTATTCTCAATTTTTATTTATAAATCTCAACTACCAGTTATTGAAGACTATGGCATCTTCCTCACGTGTTCACAAATAAAACCGAAGAATGCAATATTGTTCACAGTTCTTCTGTTTTTCATGGTACTCATCCGTAACTGACATGACTGCCTCAAACCAAAGATTGCCACTAAGTGTAAAGGTACGATCAACTGCCTTTGTATCGGGAAGATGTGTGGTCGGACGGTGTTGACCATTTCTTCTTAAACGGTCGTACTTTTTTACGTCACCCCAAACTGGGCCAAACTTGAAATTTCACTTCGATGTCTGTTGCATTTAAAGAAATTTCCACTCTCTTTCCATCACCACTTTCTTCAATTGTCTCTTTTTTCCCGTTTAAAGAATAGGATACGAGCATTTTAGAGAACCAGGCACCGCTAGACTTATACTTAATGGTTTTACTGAGTACCTGCTGAGCTGGTATATCTTCAATATGTTCAACGCCAAAGGGGTTGCCTAAATCGATTTGAGACAAAACTCTCCAACAATTCCCCACAGCAATCCTCTGCTTCAGAGTTAGTTCTTGTGGACTCTACATTTTCTCTACATCGCACAATTTCATCTTCGTTAACTCCACCTTCTCTTTCGTCTGCCCCATCGACACAATCATTAATTTGCGGACCGTTATCTGAATTCACATCAAGTCCATGACTTAAATTACTAGAATTGCCGTTTATTCGACTCTGTAACCCATCATCTGGATCTCTAGGATCTAACTTTTGTGCTTCACTAACTGCATTTATTATACTTGTCCTGCAGTGTTTACAAAATATTTTGAGCTCCTCTTTTAAGTGTTGTCAATCTTCGATTTTCATTGACGAATCAAGTCGTTCGTCAGCAAGTTTTGTAAGGCACGTTAGCAGTAGATTTTGCTCCTTCTATAGTAGCTTTTTTTCCAACAACGCGCTAAGTCATGGATATTCTTTCTTGATGCTTGTCCAGAAAATTGCTCAGCAGCATCACCTTCTAGTGTGGGCTTGCAGCCTGATCCACTGTCAACAAGGGCTTCGGTGACAGCTCCTCCTGCAATTCCTGCTGTTGCACCTATTAAAGCACCAAAAGGGTATGAAATAAAAACTGCTTTTAAAGTAATGTCCTTTTCATCAACTATTTTCTTTGCTAAATCAGAGCTCAAAGAACACATTACTCCACCAATAGCACCATTCGCTGCCCCATGGAAACATATTGACTAATAGAAACGGCTGCTGATGGCAATGCAGCACTTCCAATGCCGACCATTGCTGCAGTGATACCACCTGAAGCACCTCCAGCTAGTGCCCCAGCAACACCACCAATCAATGCTTTTTTTGCCCACTTCTTTACGTCCATTCCGTGAACAACAGATTCTTTACTAACTGCTTCCCCAAGATTGCAAACCTGCACCTGTTAACGCTCCCCAGCTATGGCTCCTAATATTACAAAGCTGGAGCTGCTAGACCAGCTGTAAAACAGTAGCTGCAATACCACCAACAGCCAGTAGAGAAGACAAGCCAAGAAAAGCAAGTCGTTTGATGAAAGCTTTTGTTCTGCAGTTACCATTTCAGGATTGAAAATTGCTTTCCATCGTCTTGAAGAAAGCCATCCCTGTTGAATATCGATATGGTTGTGATATTGAGCTCGCATTTCATCCTCCAGCAAAATATTTCTTGCCTGAACTAACTGGTCGGCTATTTCCTTGTCACCATTAGGTTTATCAGGATGCCAGATTAGAATCATTTTAAGAAATCCTTTTGAATGGCTTTTTCGCTCAACTTCATTCATCTCACGAACTTCTCTCATGTCTAATCCTAATTGCGCATACAAGTCTCCAGATGGCAAATCATTTTCTCTTTTCACTCGGCGAACGATTTTTTTCTTGTCATGGTTTACGGTATTTTGTTCGCATTTTAATGAATGTTCTCCATCACTAACTTTGATCACTCTGATGCCATTGCATTCTTCGGGTCCTAGACACTTTTCCTTCGTTCCTTTTTCCTTATTTTCAAAAATCTCAAACTTAAATCGTTCTTTGATATAATGGTGACACTTTTGCTCTGGTTCGAGTATTTTTGAAACAGATGAAAATGTGCATACTGGAGAAAACCCTTCATAAATGAAAACGGTAACGATCTTTTTAGAATTGTTATGAACATACAAGCAATTGTATTCATTGTTTACAGCTGACATCTTTTGTTTTGTTTTGAATTTTGTGGCACTGTTTTTCTTATATTGAAAGATCTCTAGTGATATCTGATCACATCCTAAAGTAAAATACAGCGCATATTAATTTGTATTTCAACCCAAAAGTTTTCAGTTGAATAATTTTAAGATATCAACATTTGGTTTAGTATAGTCATTCTTTTAGTATTTCAATTATATTAGTCACAGTCCTTTGCTCTCATCTTGACGCAACCAGATTTCTTATAACTTTAAGCATTAATCTAATAAAATGCAATTTGGTCATGCAGCTTAAGCACGTGTATGGACAAAAATAAAGGATATGACAACTAAACAGAAAAATAACGAGCATACTTTGCACGAAAGCGTTCTCTTCAACAGAAAAGAATTTTTCATTATCAATTTTCAAAAACAATTACAGAACATGATATCTAGCTAGCAAAACAAGAGGAAAGACATTTTGTGAATTTGTTTAGATTTTCAATAAGTATATCTCTTTATTTAGTAAAATTTTGGTGCTTTCTGTTTTAAACAAAAAAAAATTTGCTGAAGTGGAGGATGCATGCAGCTCAATGCAAAATTATGATACAAGCACAAAAGTACGTAGCATAATAAACATTCATTTTGGGGACATTCAATGTGCTAGTAAAATTTCTTATAAAGGCGAGTATTTTGATAGTGAAATTTGAAAGACAGAGCATATTCAAGATGACAGCCATTTCTAATAAACTGCAAATTACTTTCATTTTGTAAATTGTTGTAAAAATCATTTACTGTCAGTTGTTATTTAATAGTTTATCGGTGGTCTAGACAAATTTTGATAATAATTGAATTTAAAACGACAATCTTTAGATAAAGACGCGGTGTCAGCGGCGTACCGCTATGCCACGCTAACTGAAATAGGGATGTTAATGATGTTAAGGATGTTTGGAACTCAGAAATAATGGAAAAGACTGTGGTATATATATCATCTTCGTAAATTACTCAGACAACTAGCAAAAATTCAGATTCATGTAGTGTGGGTAGATCGCATATTTTGGGCTTAAATACAGCCGAGTTTATGTGCGATTTCTAATTGGTATTGTAAGTCATTTATTCAAGTAGCTACTAGCTAGAAAACTAAATTAAAACTAGCTTACAGATACAGATTCATTATGGGAGCATAAATTAAAGGTTAATAATCAAGATTTGGAATAATGTTGTACGTGCGGATGCAATAGACCTTTCAAGGTTATCGTAGCCATATTGCAGGGGGTGCAAAAACATTGGGCCGAGCGCGCGGTCACGCATGGCGTCCATATAAATTACTAATAAATGCGCAAAAATTACCCTTATACATATTGGCCATTTCTTTCAAAAGTATTTCTCAAACTCGTCCATTTTAATAGTCGAATTATTATTTGCGATTTTTTTTACATGTGAGTCCAATATTGTGGTACTCAAAAAGCGGAAAGTTAAAGAAAACATTTGTTTTCTTTGAACAACTCTGACTGTCGTTTGAGCGATGCCTTGAGTTCGCAAATGTGCGGAACTCATAAGCCAAGTCAAACGAATTAAACCCTAAACTAGCCGAGTAGCCGTTAGCAGTCATAGCCGAAATGGTAAAAATGGGGTTGTGCAGCTGGATATTGCGATAATGATAAACGCTATCCTGATTATCAAGTTAAGAGGTCTCACGTAGAATAGTTAGTTTTTCATAAGTGCCCCAAAGATCAAGCACTTGATGAAATTTGGCGAAAATAAATTACAAACAGCAGAGCCGATGACTTTAACCCAAAGCCTGGTGCACAAGGTACTTTCATTTCCTTAAATTATTTTCCTTGGGAAGAAGAACTCAAATAACCGCAGAACGGATTATCCTTCAGTTTTATTACGCTATCAGAGTACGAGCAATCGAGGACTCGCTTAAACATAAAGGAAGAGAAACATGGACGACATAAAGCGTCCCTCATGCCTATGACACCGAGGATTCTGATTCAAGTTTTGATGGATATCCAGCAAAATCTGAGGCATCTTTACTCCCTGTCCTTTGAATTTGAACAGTTGACGAGAGAGTATGATGTAAGGTTTAATCCGGCCTGCCATCAACTAACAGTTTTAAGTGTATTTGAATACTTGGCTGTTTCTTCTTCTGGCTGTTTAGTCGCCATACATAACAATAAAATAGCAATGTCTCTTTACAAATAATTGGAAATGCTAATAAGAGTTTGCCGTAGAATAGTTCTTCGTGATACTTGCTGACTTTGCTGTAGACATGTGCATGTGTTGCGAACTCAAGAACATCGCTCAAACGACGGTCAAGTTGTTCAAAGAAAACAAATGTTTTCTTTAACTTTCCGCTTTTTGATTACCACAAAATTGGACTCACGTGTATAAAAGATCGCAAATAATAATTCGACTATTAAAATGGACGAGTTTGAGAAATATATTTGAAAGAAATGGCCAATATGTATAAGGGTAATTTTGCGCATTTATTAGTAATTTATATGGACGCCATGCGTGACCGCGCTCGCCCAATGTTTTGCACCCTGCAATATGGCTGCGATAACCTTGAAAAGGTCTATTACGCTTAACTATCTTTTAACAAAAATGTTTAACTCAAATGTATTATATTTGCATTGTATTAAACATTAACTATGAGGCATGACGAATACAGAGAAATCAACTTTTGATTGAATATTATTTTGTGCTACTTATATATTTTATGTATCAATTACAAATATTATTTAGGCTGTTTAATGACATAGAGAAAAATCCTGGGCCGACCTTATTTGAATTAGTTGATGCCACCATAACTTCATCAAAGAATTTTTTATTTTGAATTTTTTCAATGTTTGATGCGGTAGGAGGCATATGTAGAAAATTTTAATTATTTGATAAAGTGGAAGTGTGTGAAACTGTGAAATCTACTGTTAACGATGACATGAATTGAAAATTAGACTATGATAAGGCCTCGTCTGAGAAGCCCGTTCATAAACACCATCGGTATATTTTCATAGTTTTCTTTATTTTTCTTATTAAAGATGTAACTTTGATGATTAAATCTTGCACGAATAATTCTATTGCATAAACTAACGACGATAACTTACATGTTTGTATATTTAGATCGTACAGGTTGGTAGAACCTGAGAAAGACTGTTGGTGCTGTTGTTGACAGACGTTTCGAGAACCTTAGCGGCAGTCATCCTAAGAGTCAAGTGAGAGGTAAACGTCAGGTTAGCCGTATTTGTTAGCTGGTTCAGCTAATTTAACGTCCTCACTTGACTCTAAAGATGACTACCACTAAGGCTGTCGAATAGTCAGTAATCATTAACACCAGCCATCTTTCTTAGGACTCCACTAACCTGGACGCCCTACATTCACAAACATCTAAGGATACTCCTGAGTTCAAACCATTCACTTTATGACAATTTATTTGACGTTTAATTCTTAGAAATTAAAGTGATCACAAAAATAAGCGGCAGAACTTATACATAGTTGAATTTGACATAGCTTTTTCAATACTTGATAAAATCGTTTTAAATCGACAAAAAAGAATGACAAATTACTTTTATATCGTTGCCGCATATATAGATTCAAAGAAAGTCATATGAATGTTTTAATGCAGTGGTGTTTGAATTAATGAGATATGATTCGGTAGCTGACAATTTAAGCAATCGTACAGAGCACTGCACCGGCACCACAGAGGTCATGGGTTCGAATCCCGTTGAGTCACCTGATTTTTTCAGGTCCTGAGACGATTGCTTAAATTGTCCAGCTAAGTGCGAAGATCATATCTCATTTAATTTTAGATTCAAAGAAAGTTTTTTTATATCAACCACTGAATTGTGCATCAAAAGCTTCACAAATAGCATCTCATTGATTTACAAAATTGACTCTTAAACTCAAATTGCTACAAGGTTAATAATCAAATTACTTCTATTTACGCCAGTATCCCAAAGTTTTTACGATAATTTTACGAACATACTTAACATATGTAACAATGAACTATTTTACATGCGTCACCAACCATCACACCCTAATGTCAAATTCAAAGTAAAGACGAAGTAATGAGTTTAAAAAATTATTGCAGTCACACGGAGGTAAAATATATATAGCGCATGTTAAACAGTTGTAGAGAACACGATTTAACCAATTCTATAAAGTTCCTAGACATAACGTAATAATCCACCATCGGGCTATTAATTTGAAAAGCATAATATCATGATTTCGTTAATAAATTTCTTTGATAGTTCGGAAAAAATTGAAAGTAATAATTTACCTTTGCTTAGAAGTTGTATCTCTTCAATACATCATTTTATGTTTAAGTTTGTCGTTGGTATCATAAAGATTGATAAATATATAACTGTAAAGGTGCGATGCAAATGCTTTTGTTGATGATTATAAAATCATTTAGAAGTTGATTATAATTTTGTTAGTTATTCATTTTAAGCAAAATGATTGGTTACTTAGGTTGAAGCAGTCGTTGTCAACCATATAATGCTTTGCAATCCTCCTAGCAACATAAATCACTCCTCAACATCTCTTGTGATGTTTGAAAGGCTTTACATCTTTCCATTTTGCTTCAACAAACATTTCAGGTTTAGCTTTCACGATTAATAGCAATATAACGGGCACAAGATATTTGCAAAGATTATATTAGCAAATCAAGTCTATGTGAAATTATGCATGTATGTAAAGAAGTTAGTTATGCAACTTTATTTGCAATAGTTTCGTGTTTTCGTGTCACGTTTTCCAGCAGATTTGACTATAAAGACTTGACTGCCTTAAATTTTCGAGGATTGTAAGATATATCTTTTGTAAAGTTCCAGCAGCAATAACTCAATCAAAAGATATGTTCCTAATTTGTTTTAATATTCTCGCTTTACAGTAAAATCTGATAATAATGCATATTTGAACATATAAAACAGCATATTGAATATTATAGCCGAGTACTTTGATAATGAAATTCCAAAGACAGAAGCATATTTAAGATAACAGCCATTTCTAATAAACTGCAAATTTCTTTTCATTATGTAAATTGTTGTAAAAATCATTTACCGTCAGTTGTTATTTAATATTTTATTGGTGTACTGGACAAATTCTTGATAATAATTCGAATTTCAACAACAATCTTCGTATTAAGACGCGCTCAGCGGCGTACCGCTATGTTACGCTAACTGAAGTAGGTATGTTAATGATGTTAAAGATGTTCTGGAACTCAGAAATAATGGAACGACTGTGGTACATATATCATCTTCGTAAATTACTCAGACAACTAGCAAAAATTGTGATTTATGTGTAGTGTGGGTATATCGCATATTTTTGGGCTTAAATACGACCAAGTTTTATTGTGCGATTTCGAATTTGTTGTGACAGTCGTTTATCCAAGTACTACTAGCTACAAAAACTAAATTAAAACTAGCTGCGGCTTGTGATGCATTATGAGAGCATAAATTAAAGGTTAATAATCACGATTTGGAATAAATGTTGCAATTACATGCGGATTTTGTCGCTTAAATATCTTTTAACAAAGATGTTTAACTCAAATGTATTTTATTTGTATTGCATTAAACATTAACTATGAGGCATGACGAATACAGAGAAGTCAACTTTTTGATTGAATATTATTTTGTGCTGTTTATGTATTTTATGTATCCATTACAAATATTATTTAGCCTAATTGATGATATAGAGAAAAATCCTGGGCTGACCATATTTGAAATAATTAATGCCAACATAACTTCATCAAAGAATTTTTTGTTTTGAATTTTTTTAATGTTTGATGTGGTAGGAGGCATATGCAGGGAATTTTCATTATTTGTGTATATGGAAGTGAAAGTGAAACTGTGAAATCTAGAGTCAACGATGACATGAATTGAAAATTAGACGATGATAAGACCTCGTCTGAGAAGCCCGTTAATAAACACCATCGGTATATTTTCATACTTTTCTTTACTTTTCTCAATAAAGATGTAACTTTGATGATTAAATCTGCACGAATAATTCTATTGCATAAACTAACGACGATAACTTACATGTTTGTATATTTAGATCGTACAGGTTAGTAGAACCCTGAGAAAGACTGTTGGTGCTGTTGTTGACAGGCGTTTCGAGAATCCTTAGCGGCAGTCATCCTAAGAGTCAAGTGAGAGGTAAACGTCAGGTTAGCCGTATTTGTTAGCTGGTTCAGCTAATTTAACGTCCTCACTTGACTCTAAAGATGACTACCACTAAGGCTGTCGAATAGTCAGTAATCATTAACACCAGCCATCTTTCTTAGGACTCCACTAACCTTGACGCCCTACATTCACAAACATCTAAGGATACTCCTGAGTTTAAACCATTCACTTTATGACAATTTATTTGACGTTTAATTCTTAGAAAATAAAGTGATCACAAAAATAAGCGGCAGAACTTATACATAGTTGAATTTGACATAGCTTTTTCAATACTTGATAAAATCGTTTTAAATCGACAAAAAAAAGAATGACAAATTACTTTTATATCGTTGTCGCATCTAATAGATTCAAAGAAAGTCTTTTATATTAACCACTGAATTGTGCAACGAAAAGCTTCACAAATAGCATTTCATTGATTTACAAAATTGACTCTTAAACTCAAATTGCTACAAGGTTAATAATCAAATTACTTCTATTTACGCCAGTATCCCAATGTTTTTACAATGATTTTACGAACAAACGTTACATATGTAACACTAATCTATTTTACATGCGTCACAAACCATCTCACCCTTTTCCTAATGTCAAATTCAAAGTAAAGACGAAGTAATGAGTTTAAAATATTATTGCAGTCACACGGAGGTAAAATATATATAGCGCATGTTAAACAGTTATAGAGAACACGATTTAACCAATTCTACAAAGTTCCTAGACATAACGTAATAACCATCGGGCTATCAACTCTGAAAATCAGAATATCATGATTTCGTTACAAAATTACTTTGTTTCAATAGTTTTAAGAAAATATTAAAGGAATAATTTACCTTTGCTGAGAAGTTGTATCTCTTCAATTAATCATTTTATATTTAGTTTTGTCGTTACTATCATACAGACTGATAAATATAGAACTGTAAAAGAGCGACGCAAATGCTTTTAAACAATAATTATAGAATCATTTAAAAGTTCATTATAATTTTGCTTTGTTATTCAATCGAAACAAAATGATTGGTTGTGGTGGGTTGAAGCAGTCATTGTCAACCATATAATGTTTCGCAATCCTCCTAACAAAACAAAAATCACTCCCTCGACATCTCTTTTAATGTTTGAAAGGCTTTACATCTTTCTATTTCGTTTCAACAAACATTTCAGGTTTTGCTTCTCGTGATTATTAGCAATATAATGGGCACATGAAATTTGGTAACTAATTTATTAGCAATTCAAGTCTATGTGAAATTATGCATGTATGTAAAGAATTTAGTTATGCAACTTTAGTTGCGATAATTTCGTGTTTTCATGTCACGTTTACAGCAGATTTAACTATAAAGACTTGAATGCCTGAAAATTTCTGACAATTGTAAGATATATTTTCTTGTAAAGTTCCAGCAGCAATAACTCAATGCAAAAGATACGTGCCAATTTGTTTTAATATTTTCGTTCTAGAGTAAAATCTGATAATCAATGCATATTTGAACGTAGAAAATACAGCATATTGCCTATTTTAAAGCCGAGTACTTTGATAATGAAATTTCAAAAACAGAAGCATATTTAAGATAACAGCCATTTCTAATAAACTGCAAATTTCTTTTTGCAGTTTATTAGAAATGTTGTTCGTAAATTGTTGTAAAAAATCATTTACTGTCAGTTGTTATTTAATAGTTTATCGGTGTACTAGACAAATTTTTAAAATAATCTGAATTTCAACAACAATCTTCGTATTAAGACGCAGTCAGCCACGTACCCATATGCAATGCTAACTGAAATGCGGATGTTAATGATGTTAAGGATGTTCTGAACTCAGAAATAATGGAAAAGACTGTGGTACATATATCATCTTTGTAAATTACTCAGACAACTAGCAAAAATTGTGATTTATGTGTAGTGTGGGTGTATCGCATATTTTGGGCTTAAATACAACCAAGTTTTATTGTGCGATTTCGAATTTGTTGTGACAGTCGTTTATTCAAGTAGCTACTAGCCCAAAAACTAAATTAAAACTAGCTGCGGCTTCAGATGCATTATGGGAGCATAAACTAAAGGTTAATAATCAGGATTTGGAATAAATGTTGCAATTACATGCGGATTTTGTCGCTTAAATATCTTTTAACAAAGATGTTTAACTCAAATGTATTTTATTTGTATTGCATTAAACATTAACTATGAGGCATGACGAATAAAGAGAAATCAACTTTTGATTGAATATTATTTTGTGCTGTTTATGTATTTTATGTATCCATTACAAATATTATTTAGCCTGATAAATGATATAGAAAAATTTAATACTTGATAAAAATAAAACCCTTTTAAATCGAATAAGAAAAGTATAACAAGTAATTCTGTATAGTAGCCTTAAACAAAAACTTGAAAGAAAGCCTATTTCAATGCGTCACAGATCATCACACCCTTCTACATTTAGAATTCAACGCAATGACGAAGGAATTAGTTTAAAAAATTTGCAGTCACACGGAGGTGAAATACATATAGCGCATGTAACACAGTTAGGTGATAGAGAACACAATTTAACCAATTCTTTAAATTTCTTGGACATAACACAACAACCACCCGGCTTTCAATTTAAAAAGCATATTCTCATGATTTTTTTCTTTAACTTATTATTTTTTCTTTGATGGTTCTGAAAAAAATATAAAGGAATAAGTTACCTTTGTTTTAAAGTTGCATCTCTTCAGTAGCTACATCACTTCATGTTTAAAATTGTCGTTAGTATCATAAAAACTACAACTATAGATCTTTAAGTGAGCGCCACAAATACTTTTTGTTAATGGTTATAAAGTCATACAGAATATTGATTATAATTGCTTAATATTCAATTCAAGCAAATTGATTGGTTGTGATAGGTTGAACAACACATTATCAACCATAGTGCTTTGCAACTTCGCAGCAACATAAATGACTTCAACATCTCTTGTAATGTTTCAAATGCTTTACATCTTAGTATTTAGTTTCAACAAACATATCAGGTTTAGCTTTTACCAGTGATAACAATATAACAGGTAAGAGAAATTTGTAAACATTATCTTAGCAATTCAAGTACGCGAAATTATGCCTCTTTCTAAAACAAAGATCTTTGTTTGTTGCGACTGCTTATCGTCAAAGACACAATAATCCAAACCACTAAAACACGTATTCGTATTGCAACAGTAATACATTATATCAGGCTTTACTAACAGATGCGTCAAATATATTGCAAAGTTTGATAAATCCAGGAATTAATTGCAGAGCCATTTGACGATGAGTTTGTTGTAATTTTTACATATCCAGCATACCATGTACTTACCATGTGAAACGATTTGAACCAGCTGTTAAACCTCTTCAAGGCTAATTTCTGTAATATGTTTACAGATATTGTGTGTCCTAGCAGTAGCAAGTTTACTTTTACTGAGATTAATACCATTAAAATAAACTCCATACTCATGCCTGTGTTCGATTTACCTTGTTCTTAGAAACGTTATAGTATAAAGATTGTCGGATATTTGGTATTGGTAAGTTGGTTTCAAAAGCATTAATCGATACACACCATTTCACTTTCTTTGATTTCAACACAACAACATAATCTTCTACAATGTCTTGCGTCCCATTCATTCTTGAAAGAGCAGAAATTTCTTAAAAAATGCTCACACAAGGACTTGAGTAATAAAATACGTTTTCTAGGCTCTATTTAAGGGATTAACATTTGCAAACGTTTATTTCTAACAATGTTTAAATGAGGGTATAGACACAAGTCTAATTCTTTCAAATGCAAACGTGTTTCCAGTTCAAATATCTTGGCGAGTGATGTATCACGACTTACGAAGGAAATTTTTTAAAACCAAAATATTTAGGTAAAAATTACCACAAATCCAGCATTCCAGCGATAGTTTAATCCAGTGATTTGATATATAATGAATGCTCTATTTGTACATTATTTACAATTTTAGGATTCATTTGCTTAAGAAAGAAATTCTTATGTTGTCTTATATGTGTAAGATAGATAGAAAGATAAAGAGTACAGACGATGACGTAGAAACACATAAAAATTGTCGGGATGTACTGAGAACTCGAATATTCGTAAACCGCCACAACGTACATTATTGTGTGCCCTACATTACAGATATATTTTGTGTCCTAGCAAGATTTATACTTTACCGACGAACTTTATGTGTTTGATTTGTTGTTCTTAGGAGACGTTAGAACTATTATTGTCGGATATAAATTTGCAACTTGGTATTGGTAAATTGGTATCAAAGAACAATAATCGATACTGTTTATGTCAGTTCTTTTTCTTTGGATTCAATACAACAAGATAGTTTCCATACTGTCTTATATCCAAGTTATTCTTAAAACAAAAGAAATTTCAAATAATGCTCACACTAAGACCACAGTAATATAAATACACATTCTTGGCTTCACTTTGGCGATAAACTGTAAACAATTTTTTCTAACAATCTTCGAACGAGGACAAAGAGACACGCTCTAATTCTTATAATTGCCAACTTGTTTCCAGTTCAAATATCTATGAGTGATGTATCACGACATACGAAGGTAATTTTTAAAACCAAAATATTTAGGTAAAAATACCACAAATCCAGTATTCCAGCGATAGTTTAATCCAGTGATTTCCTGATATATAATGAAAGTTCCATTTGTATATTATTTCAATGTTTAAGGATTTACTTGCAACGGCAAGAAATTCCTTTATGTCAATTCTATGTGTAAGATAGATAGAAAGTACATAATGATGACGCACAAAACACTTAAAAATTGTCGGTATTTACCGTGAACTCGAATATTCGTCAACAGCTTGAATGTACGGCTGCTGTTTGTTGTTGTTTGAAATTTTCTAATAAAAATAGCGTTATTGCCGATTTCAGTTATCCTTTTAAATGGCGGCTGCCAAGTTACTTTCTAATGTTGCCAGTTACATTTCAAAATATGGAATATTTGATATGAACTTGTCAACTTAAGTTCACAAGTTGTGTACCTGAGTACTGAAGTTGTGAACTAAAGTTGCGAAGCACTAGCAAACGCGAAAGGTCTTTGTACCCTCATTTGGCAATGAATCCGTTCAGTAAGCAAGGAAAAGCTTTAGCAATTCTAATCCGTTTGACGGCCCTCTAAGAGTGTTATAATATGATACGCCGTTTACATTATGTAATAAATTTACAGTAAATGTGGCACGTATGTAGTCGTTAGCAAGTTGTTCGCTCTTTCGTCCAAATGATCGTAATGAAGTAAATGGTTTGAACCTGAGTATCGTTACATGTTTGTATATGTAGATCGTCCACACAGATCACGACCACCCAGACTATACGAACTAGCAAAACTTCACAAACCATTAATACCCTTGCGACCAATTGTATCATTCTGTGGTTCGCTTACGTACGAACTTTCAAAGTACTTGACTGACATACTGCAACCATTTACAAGTAAATCAAAACATAAGCTAAAATCCACTGAAACATTCATTAAAAAACTGTGCACTATACAAATACCGGACAACTATATACTAGTGTCTTTTGATGTGAAATCACTGTTCACCAATATTCCACTTAATCTGGCACTTACTTGTACAAAAACCCTCATTACAAACACCACGGACGTACTGCCATTACCAACAATAGACATTATGGAGCTACTAGAGCTCTGCCTCACCTCGACTTACTTCCAGTACAAAGGTACACACTACAAAATTACATGGAACAGCAATGGGCTCACCCGTTTCTGTTATAGTTGATGAAATTGTAATGCAATCTATAGAGGAACGGCGCTCACGACTTACAAACATGCACTACCTTTTTGGTTTCTACGTAGATGACATAATCACAGCATTACATGCAGACGAGATTGATGACTTTCAGCCACATACAAACAAAACAGCCGCATACAATTTATCAAAGATGTCGAAGAAAACGGAACTCTTCCTTTCTCGACTGTTTGATAAAACATGACAATGAAAACTACCAACAACAGTTTATCGCTAGCCAACACATACTGACTGACTACTAGACCAATCATCTTACAACCCTACATCACACAAAGCCACCACAATCAGAACATTAACAAGACGCACAAATCATATGTGATTCACCGGACGCTCTACAAAACGAAAACAACTATCTCAAACGTGTTTTGACAAAACAACTATAACTCTACTTTATCAAACGCAACACTTACAAACCCAACGAGCCCAACGAAACGAACAACTCAGTGACACCAGCAACGATACCTTACATCAAAGGTACATCTGAGACTATCTCGCGTATCTTACGACCATAGAACATACGCGTCGCACATAACCCAATCGTTACGACAAGTACTAACGAACATAAAAGACAAAGAGCAGCCAACGAACGACAAGCTGCAGTTTACAAAATAAACTGGCCCGACTGCCACGCCTCCTATATCGGGGAAACTGGCAGAACTTAAAACATAAGACTTACTGAACACAAACAAGCTACTTAGAAACAAGACAAACTAATCAAATTGTTGAACATCACCGAATCCCAAAGCACAACATTGACTGGGACTCGGCAAAATGTATTACTTACAGTACTGACTATAGACAACGGCATACATTAGATTGTTGGTATACCAACTTGGAACAACCCCTGAACAGATCGCAGCAATTACCGGCACCTTACAAACGACTTATTCACAATACAAACAAAGTATCAACTAAAAACATTACACTTCACACTAATTCACAATACACATTTCCTGAACAAATAATACAATGACGTAAGAACTAGATAACAAATACGGGCTAACCTGACGTTTACTCTTCATTCGACTCCGAAGATGACTACCGCTAAGGTTGTCGAAACGTCAGTCAACAACAACAAAAACAGTCCTTTCAGGACTATGCCAACCTGGACGATCTACATTTACAAACATGTAACGATACTCCCGGGTTCAAACCATTTACTTTATTAAATCTTATATAGCACAATGTCATCAATTCAAAGACGTTGTCACTGAGACTGGGAAGTATGTCAACAGTATACATACATGGTGCTTATATGCTTTTGACAATAAGGATACAGCACATAATTGTAATACATTAATGTTAATTTTGCATTTGTGTTGTTTTGTAAACCTTTACGTATTTTTTTGGCATCATAGGTATTTTAAGTGCATTTTCAGTAAAATAAACATTTTGATTTTGATTCTTAAAAGAAGACAAAAAACTCAAATAAGCCAAATTTGAAGAAAAACCAAAGGGAATTTTGATTTTAAATAACTTTAGCGTGAAAAAGAAACCAAATTTGGTCAAAAATATTAAGATAAACTGGCAACCTTGATCAGCCATACATTTTTGTAATATGACATAAATATGATGTTTTTTATCGTAAGTAAAGATCAAAGATGTTGTTGTTAATAATCAGAAAAGAAAACTATATTTGGCTATTCTCTTTTCACTTTTAGTCTTTCTTGTAGTTTTAGTCGAAAGGTTGTAGCTTTCAGCACAGTTAATACTGTAAAAAAATGGATGGAAACATCAAATGCTGACTCGTTTGGTTACTAGGATGATGGCTAAGTGGTGGATTTATTGCGCTGTAAAGTTTGCATAAAAAGAGGAGAGAAAACATGCGAAAAAATTTCCCTCATACATTTATAACTGAATCAGCGGTTGTAACGAAAAACACTGTCTTAAATCATATGAATTTTTTCACGTTTAAAATATTAATTTAGCAATTAGCGCTGTATAATAATTAATGTAATATAATAATTACGATTGATTATGCCTCTAAAGAAACACTTTTGTCAAAAAAAATGCACATCGTTTTTCTGAACTAAATCGCACTGCTTAGTATTTAAAACATTTTAATCTTGAAGCTTACTTGTTTCTTACAATCAATATTTATCCAAGGTTACTTTTAACTTGTGGACTGATCTTGTTAGTCGGTGTAACTAACCAAGCTAAATCATATCACTCATATGTGCATGCTATTTTAGTTTTGTATAGTAATTTATATCTGCAAAATAGTGTATTAGAGTTGATGTTTGTATATTAAGATGCATTTATAACCAAGAAGGGAATGGATAAGCACTCTTGTTTATCTTTTAAAAAGCAAGGAAAGTATAGGTCTCCTAAAGCTAACATAGCCTTCAATACATAAATTAGCCACTGGATTGGCCTTTGCATTTCAGTATTTGTAATTTTATAACTTAAGTGTAATGTGTAAAATTACTTACCACTGCCATTGTTTCTTTCCATTTCAGCAATAATGCGAACCACGCAACTAAATACTAGTTCAAATTGAATTTTAAGAAAAATTCAATGAGAAGACCATACTTTACAATAAACGATTGATATATCCAAAACATCGCAGGAAAGTAGATTGCGGTAAATGATAGGTTGCGTGGTTTCGACTCAGGCAGGCCAGTCACCAGGCCTATGTTTAAATGGACGTTTCAAATTGACTTATAGAGTCAACCGGAGGGTATTTTCTCACTAGCGTATAGAGTTAACTAAGGAAGAGACTGGGTTGTTTTCAGTGAAGCTTAATGGTTAGCCGCACATGCGCAACGGCTACCCACAAAAATTGATTTCTAAAGAAATAGACAATGCTAATCTAATGAAATTTATATAGCCTCACTAGTTCTACAAGTTATTAGGAGTCAGAGTACACCTGTCGAGTAGGGTTTAGTGAGTTTAAACAAATGATCACGATATGACATCACGTTTATAAAGCACGAGGGTTTAATACACGCATTAGATAGGATAATCACGAGAATTAGAGCAAAAAATCAGCATTATCACACATAAACTGGTGTTAATATTCCATAAATAGTGCAAATTTTGATTATTTCCTGATTTTTCCCATTCATGATTCATTTAAAATAATGTTTATTTACCCAATATAGATATTGATAAACGCGAGAGCGGCAGAACTACGTTGAAAAAAGAACAGAAAAATTTTTCTAAGCTTTTGACTGACGCATGAGTGCTTCTTCCATCAACAGACCATCAAGTGAGAATCAGAACAATAATTCCGACACTGCTAAAAGCCAATGAACAACATGTGGCTTAAATGAGATTTGAGTTTGTAGCTACATTAGAAATACCATATGCCAGAAAGATATAACATAGTTGTAACGAGAATGCCTCCTTCATTTGCAGTCCACACAAGTTTTGACTCATCTCTAATAACCTGATGGCATGGTAGCATGGGTAAAGAGGAAGACCAGTATCTTGGTATGATTTCAAATAAGTCACATTTTCTTGTGGAATTTTACATAAAGATTTTAGGTATATGTATCATCTTTGATGCTTTCTTCTAATAAATAGTCTTTGACACTGCTAAGGACTTCAGTGTATTTGAAAACATAGCACTAAACAAAAATCCTTTTATGATAACACTTTATTGCGTCAAAACACTTCTTCACACGATAACCATCGAGTTCAATCCTGAAGATCATCTATAAACCTAATCGGAAATGTCTGGAATGTTTATCGTTCAGTTTGGCGGTCGAAGATGACGTCAGTGATACTATTTGCAAGACATGTGTTTTCATTTGCCTTTTGATGGAAGATTTCATAATTGAAGAAAATTCCACTTGATGCGTATTGAGTACGTCAGCACTGTCACTTAGACATCCGTTTTCATTTTGCTCTAATATAAAATCGATGGCATCCTGTTTTGCATTTTCTCCCAAAATAGACGGTCCCATCAAGGCAGTCGTGTCGTGTCGTGTCGTGGTGACAAAATTCCTCAAATAAAGGAAAGTTTTAGAGAGGATGTTGAAGGTATAAAATAAGTGGTGTTCCAGAATCTTCTTTATCTCTTTTCTTAAGTATATTTTCTCTGCAAATCAGGTGCTTGTGTTTACCTTAGTAAATCAGAAATTACTCATGTGATTATGACATCTCATGATGAAAAATTCACTCAAAAAAGTTGAAAAAGCATTTATTCATTCAATTTGACGAAGAAAAAATGATTTAAAATCAGACCCAAACACATCCGAAAGTATTCTCCTGTAAAAACATGTTGAGTTAATGTATCTGTGGTTCTATTTTTTTATTGAAATAAGTAAAAGACGGATTTCCGGACAGCTCCAACTCGTGTGAAAGATTTCCTTGTGGAATGAATTTAGGGAGGAGTTGCTCGTCTCAAATAAAATTTTCGAGATATGTAGCTAAAACATCACTGGAAGTCAAAGAAAACTTTAATGCAGACAATAGCTTGATATATAATAATATTCACTGATATAATCCACAACCCACTTTGCAGAGCTCATATATTATGTTAATTTACAAACCATTACTATACTAGTATTACTAAGATGTCCACAGGGGGCGAATTTTGGACTAGTTGTTTATTAAAAACGTTGATCATACAATTGTGGAAAGTTTTTAATCCCACTTTCTACGTTTATTGTAACGTATTTTATCATATGGAAAGCTACCTGATGGATTGGAAATCCATCCTGTAGAGTAGATAAGACTTGCCCAGGGACGGCGGTAGAACGTTTATTGGGGAAGTGGGTAATTTATTCATACATACAGTTGTGCTCGAGTGATTTCTTTTGAAATCGTGTGTCACTTAGGTTGTGTGAAACATTCTCGCTATATCCCTTCTTGTTAAATTTATTCTTGAAAAAAAAGGATTAGGCTCAATATAATTATGAAGATAATAAATTGTATTCATGAAGATCTCTTTATCTAATCCTGGAATGTGGAAGTAAATACAGTTATATTTCTACCTCTCAGATTCAATGGAAATTAATGGCTCAAAATATCAATTCAAACACGGATTAATGTGCGGGAGGGTGTTAATGCCAACGAGAATGAAGAATTATGTACTATATAGCTTCTTCGGAGAATCCATAACGTTTTTATAACATTACTGAAAGCATTTTACTGATTTGATTTATAGAAACCAATAACATATAAGATGCAAACAACGCCCTATTTTTGTGTGCTGTTTGTAAAAAGAAAAATAAAAAAGAAAAGAAAATGAGCCGCATCACATACCACAAGTATGCTTGATGGATATAGTTTATAAAAGCAAAAATGAAATAACACTGGGAAAAATGCAAAGACTAAATGCATATTTTTCAAACGTACAAAGACATGAATGATGCTCAAAATTGTTATAATATAGTTGCAAATAATGTTGAGAATGATTTATCTATTTTTAGCCTCATCCGCTTGATAACAATTTGTTGGATCATCCAAGACTCTTGCAGATTATATTTCTTAGGAAAATATCCTGTCATATATAAGCTAGTCATGGTACAATGCAGAAAAATTTTCAAAAAGCGACAACACTAAATGAATTTTTTTGCCGGCATTCTCTTGCCTAAATTCAAAACAAACGTTGGCCTCCTGAAATACATGCATTATTTCAGAGACGACTTTATAAAATTTAAGAGTATGCTGCATGGCTTCAACTAATCATGTGACAAAAGTATAAGAGTTATCGTTTCAGTTTTAAAATTCTGTGGACAACATACCAAATAATTTTTTACTTCTTCATATTCGCTGTAATAGACCATCGATCCGGAATCACATCTTTACTATAACTAGAGCTTGACTCAACTCTTCCCTAAGGGCCACGGGAAGTCTCGTTCACACTTAGCTGTAGCACTAGAAGAGATATTATGACATTTAATTAATCATCCTCAATTTTACAATGACCAATCCCACCTACCAATTACAAACCTAAATATTACCAATGCATTTTTTTCACCTGTTTACTTTATTTAGTCGGTCTCATTTGATAAAACAATCCCAGAATAGCTTGAAATGTACACCCATTGTAAAAAAAGTATTTTTTTACTTTTACAGGTTCTCTCAAAATTGATAATCCAACTTCAAGCCGCTGGTGTGCATAAATTATTACATAAACGAACGGAATTTGTTAATGCCAAATATAGACAATTGTTTTAGCTTTTGAATGTCATTGTTTGTGGTATATGGAACAAAATTAATCAAGTCAAAAGGGTTGAAAAAGTTTTGTCTAAAGCGCATTTTTTTTCACCTCTGTGTAAGATTTTTTAATTTATACAGTATTCGTTGAAACATATTTACATGTGATAACCCAAAATTTCAAACAGTTGCCTAAATGGTTTGTATGGCCGTGCATTAAAACGTTTGCCTCGTTCAACCAGCGTTATTTGTAAATTGCCTCTCAAATACAATCTTCACTTTTTCATAATGTCCAAATTCCCATAGACATTGATAATGCAAAGTACACATTAGGGAGGCTGGTAGTTTGCGAAATTTTTTAACCGTTTACAGCGGCTGCAAAGCATTTTTAGGATTGCCGGTAGGGCATACGTGAGCGCTGACGCCTGATAAAGCAGTGAATGTCTAGGGGTGCGTACCCCAACGCTTCTACAATAATTGTCAAGATGTCAATAACGCTAATAACGTTCCAGAAATCGAAGAAGCAACCACAGCTGATATCGCTTTGCTGTACTTCCAAAGCAAGTGTGATTAGGGTACAAAACATTAATCTGGTTTCCTAATAATTGAAAATTATTAAAGAGCTCCTCCTAGAACTCCATCAATAAACATTATCGATATTTTCATACAGTTTTCATCATTTTTCTTATCAAAGATACAACTTCCACATTTAGATCTATCAAGAATAATTCTATAGCAGAAACTTACGACGACGACTTTGACGTTTAATTCATAGAAAATAACGTGATTACAACAATAAAGGATGAAACCACACATATAAATAAATTTGACGAGGTTTTTATAATACATCATAAAACCCTTTTAAATCGACAAAGAAAAGTATGACAAATACTTTTTATAGTTGCTTCAAATAACAGCTTCAAAGAAAGTTTATCTCTATCACTGATCGGTTCATCAAAAGCTTCACGAATGCCATCTAATTCAACTTACAAAATTACTTCAAAAACTAAGTTTGCAACCGGGTTAATATTCAACTTTTTACTTCACGCACATATCGCAAAATCCTTAAAAGTATTTTACGAACAAGAGTTATATATGCAACACTAAATTATTTAACATGCGTCACCAACCATCACACCCTTTTGTTTAACGCAAAGACGAAGTTAGTTTACAAAATTTTGCAGTCACATGGAGATAAAATACATATGCATGTAACACAGAAAGCTGATAGAGAACATGATTTAACCAATTCTACAAATTTCTTGGAAATAATGTAATAACTATCGAGCTATCAACTTAAGAAAGCATATTATCATGATTTCGTCACAAAATTACTTTTTCTTTGATAGTTTGGAAAAAAATGTTAGTGGTTGTAGAATCATATAGACATTAGAGCCCAACAAATAATTTTAAACATAGTCATAAACTTCTTAATTAATCTGAAGATGTCTTGAGTAAAGACGAAACGTCACACTTTTAATAAATTTCATAAAACCAAATTGTTTATGACTATGTTTAAAATTATTTGTTGGGCTCTAATATTAATATTGAGAATCCGTTTCCCGCCTGGCACCTCATTGGCAACAATATTGAAATATTGATAAATCATATGGACAGTTGATTATAATTACTTGATGTTAGACTCAAGGAAATTGATTGGTTGTGATAGGTTGAACAATCAAGTCATGTCAACCAGAGTTCTTTGCGATCCTCGTAGCAACATAAATCACTCCCTCAACATCTCTTGTGATGCTTGAAATGCTTTACATCTTTGCATTTTGTTTCAAAAAATATGTCAGGTTTAGCTTTCTTGAGTGATAGCAATATAACGGCATATTGCAGGTAGCAGCAATAACTAAACGCGAAAGATATGTTTCCATTTATTATAATACTTTCGTTTTAAGTAAAATTTCATTATCAATGCATATTTGAACATATAAATACAGCATATTGCCTATTGCGTTCATGTAGCTTTTGGATTTTCACGCAGTTAGCTATTTCGAATTTACAGGGACGACGGAAGACCAATAATTGACAGAGGGGCTAATATTCATATTTGCATAATATACTTAATAGTTTTTATTGAAATCAATTGTGATTAGGAATTAACATATGGATGCGAGACTTCCCCCCCCTCCAATCATCAATCTTCCGACATCCCTGCAAATTAAAGGAAGAATTTACGTAAAACTGTGGTAATTTTCTTTTGATACTTTACAACAGTTATTTGGATGACACGAACGACTGAAAACAGCTTTTTGAATGCAAAGTTTTTAAAATGTTTCCTCTGTCCAAAACAAAGATCTTTGTTTGTTATAATTGCTTGTCGTCAAAGACAAAATAATTCAAACAACTACATCATGTTGGGTATTGCATCAGAAATACATTATATCAAACGTTACTAGTATATTACACGAATAAACAAATCCAGGAAGTCGTTGCAGTGTCATTTGACGATGAGTCTATTGCATTTTGTGTATACCTAACGTACACACGTGCCTACCATGCAAAGCGACTATAACCAGCTGTTAAACCTTTTCACTGCTAATTTCCGAAATATGATTACAGATGTTTGTGCTGGTAAAATAATACTCATCACTCATGTGTTCAATTTACGTCGTTCCTAGAAACGTTAATACGATTACTGTGGGATATAAATTTGCACACTTGGTATTGGTAAATTGGTATCAAAGAACAATAATCGATACTGCTTATGTCAGTTCTTTTCCTCTTTGGTTTCAATAAAAGAAGATAATTTCCTACATTGTCTTTAATCCCATTCATTTTTAAATGAACTCACACTAGGAGTAGAGTAATAAAATACATATTCTTGGCCCTACTTTTGCGATTAGCATTTGTACACGTTTATTTCCAACCATCTTCGAACAAAGGCTTAGAAACACGCTAATTCTTATAAAGGCAAATTTGTTTCCAGCTTAAATATCTTGGCAAGTGATGTATCACGACATACGAAAGGAATTTTTTTCACCAAAATATTTATGTAGCTTAAAAATGCAGCATGTCCAGTATTCTAGTAAAAGTTTAATGCAGTGATTTCCAGATACATAAAGAAAGTCACTTGCATATTATTTAAAACTTTTAGAGATTTACTTGCGTCAGCAAGAAATTTCTATATGTTGTTTTATGTATAAGATTGATAGTACACACGATCACGTAGAAAACATTTATAAATTGTCGGTACGTACCGAGAACTCGAGAATATTCCTTAACTGCTGGAACGCGTTTTTCGCCGTTGCTGTTTGTCGTTATTTAAAGTTTCTAATAAAGAACAGCTTTTAATTTTGAAAACGATAGGCAAATGTCCTAATGCCATCGGCAAAAAAATGCTTATTTTCATCAGAAACTACGATATCTTTCCGTAATTTTAGCAAACTTTAAATGATTACTTTTTTGAGACCATTCATCATTGCAGAGAAAACTCATTTAACTCCATAAACAGTTATTAAACAGCTAAACCCAAATAAATAGATGTTATTGCATGTGAAAATATTGAAACGTATCACGTGATGATGAAGTCACGAAGATTTGCGTACAGGGAAATGTGTCGACAGTGACGCGCGTTAGAATGGTGTGTTAAGGCTTTCAGCAGAACATAAGACAAGCGGGTTGCAAAAAACCTGGCCCAGATATATTACCCATGAAAAAAGCGTATGTATAATAATTTCCAGACTGTTCCTATACTTAAAAGATGATGTCCATTAATGATACGAATTTTGGATAACTTGTTCGTTGAAAACGTATACATATCAGAAAACGTTTTCGCACAAGAATATAAAATGTAAAAAAAATGAACACATTGAAGACCCTATCAGTTTTTCACGCACGATCACAAGTTTTAACTCATAAAATATTATTAAAAAGACAACCACGAGATCGCTGTAATTTAAAGAACTATACGTATATGTTGCAGACAAAAGATAACACTATTCAAGCAATCCACAGCTCACTTTCTCTTACACAATTTACGTATGTTAAAGAAAGCAGCACCAATGGTAGCTTTCCAATGTACATGTTATATACAGATTTTGGTTTGGATTGAAATCAATCGGACTAAAAGATTAACGATCAATTATGATTGAGATAAACTTTCAATAAAAATTGAAATTGAATGAAATGTACATTCTTCTTCTAGTTCATCAGAGGAAGAACATTTTGAAACACCATCCTTCTCCATCCTGAGGTAGGAATTACAAATTACCACTTCGACCATTGTCATGTAATTTTTGCCATAACAGTGTCAGTCTTCACAGGTTGATGTATCTAAATTTTGGCAAAAACACATCTTATTTTGGAGAATTATCTTTGATTGAGTAAGTCCTAAAGTAAATCACTATTATCACATTTGATTTTATTATGTTGAAAAGTGAAGTTGCACTTGAAGTATATTTCTAAATCATTACTGCAGTTGGACAGTTGAAATCACTTATATTAGCACAAGTTCTCTTCTAAACATAGCTCTCTGCTTCTTCAACTACGTACGTAAATCATATCATCCTTTTATAGAAACTGGAACAGCAGATGCACTCTTCCAAACACAACTTACAAGACAATAACTCACAACACTACTCTCTAACAGTTACCCTATCATCCCTACAAATCAATGTACCAGTACATCTACCAGGACAGCACACACTCTCAGCCAAACACAGTTCTGTGTACAATAACACAAATCGAACTTTGCTTCTCATCTATATCTCACATATAATCCTTATCCGTTTTTCATGCATGTGATAATCTCCACCTCTAGCAATTTAAACATGAATCAATGACAGACGTCATACAAAGTTTCTGAAGTTTCTACAACATTAATGGACATTACATGTTTGTAAATGTAGATCGTCCAGGTTGATATAGTTCTGAGAAGGACTGTTTTTGTTGTTTGTTCCACGTTCCAAGTAACAAACCCCCCAGAACAGATCACAGCAATTACCGGCACCTTACAAACGACTTATTCACAATACAAAACAAACGATCAACTAAAAACATTACACTTCACAATAATTCACAATGACAATACACAATCGACACCAACACATTACAACTAAAAACATCACACCTAAATCACACACCACAACTAAAAATAAAAACATTTCACTTCACACTAATTCACAATGACAATACACATTTCCTGTACACACAATACAATGACGTAAGAACCAGATAACAAATACGGCTAACCTGACGTTTACTCGTCATTTGACTCTGAAGAAGACTACCGCTAAGATTGTCGAAACGTCAGTCAACAACAACAAAAACAGCACTTCTTACGACTATACCAACCTGGACGATCTACATTTACAAACATGTAACGATACTCCCGGGTTCAAACTATTTACTTTATTAATGGACATTGATGAAGATGAATGTTATAGAAAGTTCTCACCGCTGAAGAAATGTAAATCCATTGCATTGCCTTTCTGATCTTGTCATTTAAACAAGGCCTATCCTCAAGATTCCAATGTGTGAATTCAGAAAATCTTTTTATAGCTCGAAAAGATCTATCCTAAAAATTAAGTTTTGTAATAGTTTCAGTATTAGCTAAAATGCAATAAAATTATAAGATACACCAAACACACATTGTGTGAAACTTAAATTTAGAATTATAATAATGAAATGTTTTGACAAAATATATTGTTCACTAAAATCAAAGGCTCACCTGGTCATCAGTGACAGGTTTACGATTTTCCCTGAGAAGATAGCCTGAAATAAAAAACTTACACAGATTCATTTCATTCCTGTGAACCAAAAAGGATGACAGATCTTGAAAAGGTTAATATTAAGTAAAAGTCATTGGCAAAAGTGTAACAGTCAAGACAAAAAGAAGATTGATAATTCTGGGGGGGGAGCAATATTTATATAAGCATGTTACAATCGTTTTAAAACAATGGATTTCAAAAGAGCTTAACACTTCCTATCATGAATATATGAATATTCAAAAATTATAATATTGAAATGCTATTGAGTCAACATATGTACAAAAGGTCACCTCCTGTGAATTTTTGATAAATGCTGAACACTTTTGTCATATTGCCACATTTGTTCTTTATCAAAAAACTTTGAAGAGCAGCATTAAGATGACCAAACTTATAGGCTGGCTAACTTAGTGACCTCAAAATCACTTGAGATGGCCTCTTCCTACGGATATGCTGTGCCTCAACATTGGGAGCCACAGAGACTAGCTACACAGGCCACTTGATGAGTAACATACATAAAGAATCATCAATGTTTATATGTTTATATGGTAATATGCAACTGTTCCAAAAGGTACAATGAGTGAAGTTATTTTTTTCACATAAACAACAAAGCCAATAATAAAAAGATGCTAAGCATGTTAATATAGTACCAAAGCAAATAATAAAGGTACTAAGTATGTCAATACAGTTTAAACAACATTATCTTACCACTGTATCCATCTGGTATAGCAACTTTCTCACCCATTAACATGCGGCCACGAAATGAAACTTTAAGTAAAAATCAAAGCAAGTTAGGCTGGAATGGTTAGGCTAAGCAACACTACACACAAACACATATTACAGGGAAGTAAATCGTGGGAAGTGGTTCAAGCAGATTTTAAGTGAACTGCTTTTTTAGGAAAAACATATTTACTCAATGGGCAAGAGAGTGTTTTCAGGATAGTTGAATTTCTAGAAAATTCAAATGCAATCTACATACTTCACATCCTCCCAACTACTTCATACCAAAAGTTACAGAATTGGTAGGTACAAAATACTTAATCCTAACACGGTTTTATATACACATGAAAAACATGTGACTTGGACAACATTTGAACTCGCACCTTTGGATATTAGTTCGACGCTCTACATGTTGAGCTACCTTGCCCACAGGGTTTGGAGACAAGTCAAATTTCTTTTAAACTGCATATGGATAAGAGATTCTCGCCAAAATAGCAGTTTTCCTGGATGGCACAATGTTTTCACTTTATGTATATTCTTTGATGATGGCCTTGGAATCACTGTGGGCTTCATAGCTCAACAGGTAGAGCAGCCGACTACTATCCTGAAGGGGCGAGTTCCGATCTCCTCCAGTCACATGTGCATATAAAACCGTGTTAGGATCAATATTATGTATATTCTCTAATGATGGCTTTGGTAGGTACAACAATTCAGCAAAGGAAATTCAAATTTTAAAGTAACTATGTGGTTACATCTAGCATACATATGTATCACACGTATGGTTTACAGAAAAATTGACTAGGGAAGGTATGTATGAACATGCAATTTTACTACTAAAGAAGGGGAACTGAACTATGGATGATTTTGTTGGGGGGAGGCTCTAGTTTTTGTGAGACGTCGTTGGGTCTAACCAGTCTAGTTTGGATGTAGATTTTGGTGGCTCCTTTGTGCGTCTCGCTGTCCCTTCAAATGTCAGAGTTTAGGTGGATTTGTATAAACTCCCAAGAAATGTATAGTTTGACAGTTGTTTTAGCTCAATTGGTTGGTATCAGGGAAATTTTCACTCCCCTGCCCCCCTTCAAATCAAGACTAGTCTAGTGGGAGGGAGGGGGGGTGGGTTGGGGGGAAGTTATTTCACTCAGACTGCCCACCCGCTCAAGAAAGTCAACATTCCGCTAGCTGAAGTTTTCAAAATAAAATATTTAATGCAAATCATCAAACCTTTCTTCATTCCCTTTCCATCGTCCTTAATACAACTTTGAAAATATTCATCGACTTCAGCTTCGCCATTGTGCTCTATTTTGCACGGTAAAAGATGCACAGTCGGTTTTTCTGTAGCATCCTTAGTGCAAGAGGTTAAAATGTCTATTCTTGACATAAATCACGATTTATTGACGCTGAGCAAAAAGTAATTTTTTACAAATTAAACAACGAAAACACGGCTTGCGACTGTGTGCGACTGAAGATAAGTAAGCAACGTGGGCAAGTAACTTGCCGCAAGTTGTCATCCGTCAACAGGCGATTGAAATGCCGCGATATCCGTTTTCTCATTGGTCAAGTTTCAAGTGAAATTTGGAGTTTAGCGGACACCAGTTGCTGTGACATTGTACAGAATAGACATCTAACAGAAGGTCCACTCGGCTAAAATCGTGGCATATTCTTTCACTACGCACGCAACAAGATACTTTCACAAAATCAATATGATATAGTATTGCACGAGAATGTTATTTTACTCATGGTTCACGTTTAAAGCAAACGTATGCCGAAATTCTTACAAATAATTATCATCTTGCAAAGAAGATAAGTTTGCAAGCTTTTGTTGTGCAAAATGATATTTTTGTAAAACATCCATATTTTTTATTGCGATCTAGCGGAAGTATCTTGCTGCTAAGAATTTGCTTCAGAATAGCGGGGTGCATAAACATCAAAGGTTCCAACACAAGTGGACATTCTGTTCAGATACCTATCCTGTGCCCATTGCTTGGAATTAATTAAAATTTAGAAGGCCTGGACATAACCCTAAACAATATTCACACAATACCCATAAAGCTTTCTTCTATAACGTTGCTTTTGCTTTTACACTCGAGACTCGAGAGTAAAATAGCGATTTGCAGTGTTGTTGATTTGCATTTCCCCGCCATTACTGCTATTTGTGCCCACAATCTTACGGTTAACGTAAAATGCCTAGTGGTCTGCAACTGGTGTAGGCTAAACTGCATTCTACTTATATCAGTCATGAATTAAAGAAATATCAATTTTCTCTGAGCAATCTCTTGCATTTCTCGAACTATTGATTGAAGTGGCGATTGAAAAATGCAATGCAAGAATAAAACAAAATCGCTCGACATTGCAACAAAATGCACTGATATACGCTGCCTAGCATTGGCTATAAGCTATGACGAGAGAGTGTTGGCTGAATTAAAAATCGGCTTGACAGTCAGTAAATATAACACTTTATAAGATAGCATTTTATAGACACGGGCGCTGATTGGTTGTCACATCTGAAAGTTGCATGTTTGCGCGGGAAATGTAATTAAAATCAATAAACTTCGCCTACGAATTTCTCGTTTTCTCAAACTTGCCGAGTGTTTCGATAATTCTTAAATAACTTTCTCGTAATTTTGTAAGTATAGTTTTAATGTTTCGTTCATGCTTTTCGTAACCCCCACGCAAAAATCTGCTTCAGTTGTCGGGGTCGGCCTATCCATCTGTCAATAGAAAGTATAAAAATTACCCCCTTTGACACACCTTGAGTCTACACAATGTAAAAAATCTTTCTGGAGTGCAATGATTAGCTATATAAAACTAAATGTTGGGTAATTTCAATTCAAAAATTACTTGCAAGCCTGTAAGTTTGAAGGCAAAGAATTCATTCGTTCGGTTAAGTAGCTAGGCCAGTCTAAATATTTAGTCGGGCATTTTCTAGCAGAACAGTATTTTACTAAATATCAAGTTGATGTCTGCGTTGGTGAATGGACATTTTAAGAATTCACCACAGTGGGAGAAACTTTTGATTTAACAGCTTGCTTCTGTTTTCTTTTTTTCTTCCATTGGTATACAACGGTTCTCTCAACATTTGCCATTATTCCACGAATATTTCTAAGATCTTTTTGCTCCACCTATATAACGATATAAAACCCATTTTGAAACACATAAAACTGTAATTTTCTAAGATGTTTTATTAAAACTTCCAATCAAACAGATAGCTACGTTTGCAGATACTTTGCAAAACAGTAATTTCGACATGTACAATCTTTCATTTTACAGCCTTTTTTCCCAATCGAAACGTGACATGAAACATACCGTCATGTGATCAAAAGCGAAGCTCACGTGATGAGGCAGTCTTGAAGATTTACAGGGGAAAATATGTCGATTGCTGATGTGTGTTAAAATCGTGTACTCGGCTTTCATCAGTTCACTACATTTGATTGCTTCAGATACGGTACTACATAAGAGAGATACAAAGTTTTACAAAAAGGAGTACGGACAATGAAACAGCAAGTTGAACATAAAAAGAGCAAGACATAGTTTGCCTCACTTATATTACCAATGGGCAGTTTCTTTCGCTCTGTAAAGCAGCTTATCATCGAATGTTGCCTCGTGAATGAGTAATGTCGCATTTTCACCTATAGCAACAAAAAAGTAAACATCTCTTCCAATGATTGTGGCAAAAAAAGTTGTCATCAGGAATTAAGTTAGAGATAACCAGTAGTATTTCCAGATATTCCGAGGACGGATAACGTGAAAGGAAACTGCCGACGCGAGTCCTTTACGATATATTTAACGAAAGACACATTGAAATTCGCATTCGCAAAAAAAGATAATGTTATATAATTGACAATACGATAAATTTTTTTGAGATTAGTAAAAAAAGTGCAGTCGTTACGAAAAGATTTCGCTATTCACGATGGCTCTTGCCGAATGCCCAAAGAAAGGGTGAAACAGGTTGCCTTCATTTCCTGGACAGGGGAGACAGACATAGAACAGATTTCATTTTTATTAAAGCTCAAAAAAAACTTCTTCCAGTCGTAAGTAGCAAAACATATTTTGCTGCATCTAAACCTGTTATTAACTAAACGACTGCTCTTTATAAAACAAGCAACAACTTAATGAGATTGGGCAATATTTTGATAAGGCCATACCACTACAATAAAATTTTTCCTTTCATTGCTCGTGAAAAAAATGATGCAGTAGAGAAATAGCGAAATAAAAAGAGAATAGATTTGTCCGTTTCTCCTAACCGGCATCAATTAACTGTTTACAAGGTCTTGTGTCAGCAGAATAAACAATTTTCCATCCATTGCGTTCAAGTATCAAACCATGAGAGTAATCACTATGTTTCGTAGGGACAACAGAAATCTGCAAAAAATAGTTAACTCAAATTCTGTATTGTGTTGTACGGCAAAGTCAATCAAACCACGAGTACTTTTTATCGAATATTCAAATATATATGGTGTTTAGAAATTTATCAACTTACAGAAGAAAATCCCAAAGAGCGACTAAATTGTTTGCCATCTTTCTTCCCCAATCCTCTTTTCACCCACCAAAACTGAGTGAACCTAAAAAACAAACATTGTGAGCGACTAAACAACAAGGTTGCTACAAGTTAGTCATTTTAGAACTCATGCACAAAAATGCATGAATTTCGTTAAGAAATTTCGCTAATAAATTCAGGCCCAAACAATTTACTAATAATATAGTATGAGATATTTCTCCACTGTGATTGGTTGATTGCAATGCAGTTTATTTGTAATTGCCCAGTAGAAAAGTGTAGTTAGACCGTAAATACTGTAACCTGATTGGCTGAAAAACAATGAAAGCCAAACAATTTTTTTTTAATTCAGAAAAAAAATGGCGGTAGTTGTAAGTAAAGAGTACGATTAAAAACAATATACTTTGAGTTATTTTTTGCCTGTACCTTCCATCTCTGTTGTTTTTAATCGTTCTTCGAACTCACGCTATTGCGCAGCAGTCTTCAAAATACTCACTCGTGCGTGTTTATACGTAATTGCACTTGAAACTAAACTATTACCTACACAAATAAACGCCATAGCTAGCCTCGGTAATAGAGGAGGAGGCTATTCATATATGAATGTTAACATCCGCAGAAAACACTTCATTTACAGGAAAATTGGCCCTACAATTATCGAGGTGGCTACGGAACTGACAAAAAGTCAAATGTCATTAGTGCTAACTTATGAAGACAAATGAAACCCCCCCCAAAAAAAAAACACACAGAGATAGAATTTTCACCTGAAGTTGAAAGTTTCACCACACAGCATTTCGAAATATCTTAAGTATAAATCCAAAGTTTCTGGACCAATAATTCTTACGAAACTTGAATCACCCTAGATATGACACAATTTATCTTCTAAAGTACCGGAAAATTTCAACTGTTACAACACACAAAGGTAATTTTGCAATTATGATAACAGCAAAGTTTGGCATGAAATTATTGCAAAATAAAAAGAAGACATGCAAAACTGTAAAGTCATTCCTGCAGCTCACCATAATCTTCTAACGATATCGTAAAATATTGACAAGAACCTAAAAATTGATAATTTATGATAAATATTCATTGCTTAACAATGATAAATGATTAAAGATATTGATTGCGTCATTAATGAACATATATTATAACAGGTTAGAGATTGGAGTTCAGCCAAAATACCCAAAACACATTTCATTCGTAAGATTTGATTCTTTGAAAACTCACAATTAACAGAGTTTCAATGGCATTTTGATTTAAAATTACGATATCAAAAATGAACTTATTTGGACTGTGGACTAACCATAGACTGGTTTTAAACAATCAAGAGGGTTTGTCTAAAATTGGTTTCGATTGAAGAAAATGATTTTTATTGACTTCGTTTTACGTATCTTAGGTGAAAAAGATTGAGCCAACGTGTTATGTAGGAGTATTGTAAAACTAATACGAGCAATAATATACAAGTACGAACCTACCAAATGATGGTCAATATGCATATGGGAGATAAACACGGTACGGATTCGCATTAGCATCGTGTTCACATCGTCTCCGTAATGATAAAACATCTGTCTCAACGTCCCTTCGCCACAGTCCATTAAAATGGACGTTTCATCACTATGTAATAACGAAACAGTGATGCCAAAGTTGCATAAACAAAATTTTCAGTAAAGTAAAGGAACAGCGAAACGTGGGAGAGTTCACTGCTCCTGTTTACATATAAACAGTCTATGGTATAGCCAGCGTATAAATTTGGTCGTGGTATGTAAATTTTAGATTACATCATTTTCTTAGTAAGAAACACCTATAACTTTACATAGCATAACAAAATTTCTGATCTGGCTACGTCAATGTTAACAATACAGTACCAGACTTCATGAAAAATCTAGCAATCCATCAAAATATTTCAGTACAATAGGCTCACTATTTCATGTTGCAAGTATGAAATCCTTTCTTAATTGCCACCATTCTTTTTCGATGCATTTGCAACGAGATATCGTAGCTCTTACTATCACCTAAAGTGGCCCTCTATGTCTTATGTCCGTCACATGTAATTTATATAAAGCTAAGATTGTTTAAAGTAAACTTGTTTACTGAGTTAAGGATTTTCCCTTACCTCAAATTCAACAAAATCCCGCTAGTGTTGCGAAGATTTGATGAAATACGTGAACCAGTTCCAAGGAAAACAACCTGAAAATCGTTGCTCAACGTAGAGCTTGCGAACACATTTGAACGACTTCCATTTGCCGACGATTCCTTTTCATTTACAGCTTTTACAGCCACCAAGTTTTGTTCAAAGCCTTCAAAGGCTATTGGCCGAAAATTATACCTCAAAGTCGGAGCAGCAAAATGGACAGAACCCTTAGGAAAATCTTTAAAACCAGAGTGAATTTTATCCATAAACAATGAATAGTACAGCGGCGGGAAAATGTTCACGTGAAGTTTATTTAACCTATCATAAACTTCATCAAAGACGGTGAAAGCTGGTCTTTCAATCACGTGCTCATTCATCATAAGATGTTTCGTTTCTGGGTCAAACGTTGTCATCCAAGATTTGTATTCCATAGAATTTGCTATATCTTTTTTCCGGTCATGTGAATTACTGTGTCCACGTGAATGTGCAAGTCACTTGAGAAGAAATCACGTGACATTAAAGAAGATAATTTGTTCAGGACATGTTTTGATGGACAATCTATGACAACAAATGATTGTCGACGTGGCGTCGGATGAAGGATGTCATCTGGATTGATCTAAACAGAGCACAAAAAACCCTTTAGCACAAAAATCAATTTAGTTCCTATAAATTATTTTTTCAAGAATTTATACTTGTATATTCAAACGATTTTAATCAATCTGCGGCATTATTGGCTAAAAGCACAAAATTTCTTTACAAGTTACCTTTGAAATAGCCCGATCACTTTAGAGTATAACAGAATATATGCGTAGATAGTTGAGATTAACAACAAATGCTAATCTTTGTCCTGATTAACCCTTTGTCTCCCAGTGTTGCCTTATGGCAGTATCAAGGAAACCATACAAAACTCAGAGGATCAAAAAACTTAGGAAGTACGTAAAGGGTTAAGGATTTAGCACTCTTTATGGGCAGGTTACATGAGAACTGGATAGGCTAGCATGTGTATGGTAATGTTTTTTCTCGGAACGTTACAAAATTTCTTTAAGAGGAAAAAAACGATGATTTGCAACTAATAGATTAAATAGGTTTAATTTTCGCGAAGAAAATACAACAAACTTTTTATTAGGCTTAAAAAGCCACAATGCAGTCGACAGGCTATCCAGGCTTCATGCAGCCTTTCTCTGGAAAATTAAAACATAAAACATGGTAACTCAAACTGTGCACAAACTCACAATATGTAGCTACTGCCTTTTGAGCGTCGTTTAAAAACTTTCCATTTATCACATGAGCAGTTCAAGTAAATGATACACTAAGTTTAAAATTGGATAGTTAACTCACCTGTGTTCCACAAGGTAAATCAACAGAATATCCCATTTGACACTTTGACATAACGTTTCTCAAAATTTCCTGCGCCAGGCCAAGATTTTCTGTTACATCCATGCGAACTCTTCGTAGTGGTTCTTGTAATAAAAACGCGTAAGAAACGGCAAGATTTGGGAAAATCGTCCGACCGTTCTCTTGCGAACCATCGCTTGCAGCAAAGGCGAAAATTTGAAAATTATCATCACTCGCAATTTCCAGCCACTTTATTCGTTCCTCAATTTGGTGAAGTTTTACAAACTCGAACTTACTCATGTACTGAAAAGATTTCTGTATTGTTTGTAAGAATGCATCCAAATTCGGTGGACCGTAGACATCGATAAGTTTATCGACCGAAAAGCTATCAGTTTGCGTCGCTAGAAGCATGTTCGTCAGACCACCAATGTGATTGATTGTTGAGCCAGTCATGAACATCTTGTCAAGTCCCTTTGATGGTAGTCCACCCATGCGAAAATTCCTTAATGTATTTTCACCCGCATTAATGATGTATCTAAAAATAAATCACACTGAGTGACTGAGCAGTGGTTGACAGTAAGGGGAGGCGAGGGAGGGGGAGTCGCCTCCCTATGTTCCTTTTTTATGAAATTTTTTTACCAATGGTTTCATTAAATACAAAAAAAAACACGGGAACATTTTCATTTCAGAGGTTCACATCTTAAATACAGTAATAAGCACGAAATTTCTCTTAAGAAGAAATTTCGGAATTTTCGATTCGCCCAACAGTCAAGTACTTTGTCCTGATGTGATGTGGATGTGGAAAGCTTCTAAAATGTCAGGGATATATTAAGAATAGTTTCATGTGTAGTAACATCAAGTAACAAACATAAATGACATTAATTGATCACTAATGCAAACCCCAATCTTAATTTACTTAATCTTTTAAGTTAAACAAGCAAATAAAACTTATCAAGACAAGTGTTTTGGCCAAAAATAAGGTGATAGAAAACGTGTTCTTCTGTAAGAAGCTTTAATTTTCGGGTTTGACGTAATTTTGGATTTAACCAAACATGAAATGATTACATTTGCTACAGTCTACCACATATTTTGTTTATTTGCATCTTTTCATGATTGAGCAGATCAGAAGAATGGCTGGTAATTAAACATTTATTGAGATATATTAATATTTAGTCATTTAGACTTGACTTATATTTCGAAATAAGCATTTAAGCCTCATTGTTCCAGTAAAAATTTAGATTATCATTTGACTTATTCTGCCGGTTGCCACCTCCCCCCAAAAAAATCCTCAATAACTGACTAACTCACTGACTGACTGACTGACTGACTGACTGAATTACCAACTAACTGACTGACTGACTTACATACTGACTCGCAAACTGACTGACAGTATCGCGATGTCCACAAGATAATAAAAATTATTTATTTGGATAGCAAGAATATTTTACCTGTATCTTTATGGCATACAACATTTTTTATAAAAACGGAGAGCAATTAATGTTCTTACTGTGCCCTTATTTTGATTCATTACATGGAAGTATCTAGAGGTCATGCTGGTGGGGCTCAGCCGAATACTATTTTACATCTTTATTTCCTGCTTGGCTTACAAACTGGTTTTGTTGTATAAAGTTGCATTTTTAGTTCACCTATCAAGGTTTTTTGCAAGCTATTTGTGCTTTTTGCCTTTTTACAAGAAAATTCAAAGATAATATTATCACTATATTTGGACTAAGTTTCCCACCCCTTGTAATGCACAAATATAAATATTTAGCTCAAGTGTGTTCTTCTTAAAGATTTGAAAAGGTTTGAAGGTTTATAAATGTTTTGACTTTAAATTTCAAAAGGATGTGATGATGAATATTGTGACTGTTCAAAAATTGAATTTTGTTTCATATTTGACATGCACATGTATAACAGAATATTTGTGGTTGTATTTCTATTTTATGGCTTTATTGTGAATTTAAAAGTTTTGAAGTCAGTTATGCTAATACTGACACTTCTCCTTTAACATAATGTCATTCATTATCATGTGTACAGTTAAAAAACTAAAAGTTACCTTAAGTTAACTGTGGGTGAACTTAATAGCTGTATGTAAAGTCATGGCCACTAAAATGATGATGAAGTTAAGATCTTAACCTGAGACAGTAATTTTTATTTTGATTTGTTAGAAAGTTATATGTTGTTTGTTCGCACTTTAAAATTTGTTCATTAAACTTCAATAAAGTACGTATGTCTTACTATATAAGTATGATTGAAAATCATGACATCATACGGCATGGCTCTTCATCAAAAGCATGACCAAAAATTTTTTGGTAGGTACGCCCCTGAATATATGCCCCTTCTTCTACAAAATGAGCAACTTTTAAGGTTACTCAATTCAAATACTTGCAAATGTCTTTACACTTACCGATGAGAGTTTGTAAATATATATAAACCAGGAGAAGCATCAGACTGACCTGGCTGGACAACCTGTAGCCATACTGTATCAGAAGGAAATTGTGATGTGGTGTGAATCTTGCAAGAGTTCCACAGAGGACAGTGTATTTTGAGGAGGACACGGCATGACACAAAATTCTTGGCTGTATACAATGTTCGCTTAAACATTGTAATGCATTAATATTCTAAAGAATTAATTCCTATAAATTAATGATTACCTGGGGGAAATGAGTTCATTCATTATATAGGTTAAGAATAAAGGTACCGGTGAAGTCACTATGCAATCTGTTAACAATTAAGTCCGTATGCTACGAATGAAGTCTGTCTATAAGTTAACAGCTTCAAGAGAAAAGAGTATGCCCTTCGAAATTTAAAAGTCAGTCATATTTTAAAGGCAACAATAAGTACCACTGTACCGGTACATATTTTTCGTAAAAAGCATATTTTAAATCTTACGTCAAAATGAAAAAAACGAAAAAATTTATCATACCTATATGCCAGAGGCAAACAAATATAGAAAAAAACATTTCATGATAAATTTTTGGCCATGAGGGTCACACAATGGCCAGGCCAAGAGCCAAGAGTTTCTTCGGAATAACAATACTTCATGTTGGAGGAATAGTATTGTGAATTACTGCCTCTTATGAAATAGATACGTCTGCGTACACCTGGGTAGCCTCTTGCCTGCCAAATATATGGTCACAAAACGTAGTAAGTATGAAAATTTTATTGATTGTTAAAAGGTGCTTAGTGCTAAATGCTTATTGAAATAACGCAAAAACTGTTAAAATCATTTCTAAATTAGTCAAACGCTTTCCCTTAGACACATATTACGTGGCCGAGTTTATATGCTCACATTGTACGAAGCAAAGTACCTGAGAAGTAACATTTCTCACAATATTTAACGAAAAGTTCATTATCATTATCACTGAAATGTGAAAACTATGTTTTGCTATAAATACTATATCTTCAATAACTTCTGTTTCAAAACTGTCTAAGGGTCTGTTTATGTGATCCCTGGCTGGCCCGGTAAGCGAGATGAATTTTTAATGTGTTTGTATGACGTTCATGTCGCTTGCCGAGAAGCTTCAGTAGTCAATATCAAGGCTTTTATTAAACATCTTTTACTTATAATCAGTCAAATGCTCCATCATCTTTGTATCGCAGCGAAAGTTCTTTCTTTTAACCATTCTCGTGTCTATTTTGCTCACTTTTGCACGTGCACTTATTCCGCCATTTTAAGATGTTAATTACCATACAAATGCCCAAATAGTTGAATTTTAGCTCGGCAGTTGAGTGTTTACATTAGAAAAATTTCATCCCGGCAGACGTGATCTTGCCTGTGCCAAGTGAGATCTCGCTAAACAGACCAGCCCATGTCGCCATACAAACGCAAAGAGAATTTTAATATAATATGTACTACGTAGGAAGATTTGCTTAACGGGCTATTTCGGTAAAAGGACCGGCTTGGCTTCTATATAAACAAGCCCTGAGACGGTAAGATATATGAATAAGATACTCTATGGGATATGATTTATATTTATTTACAAATATATGACGCTTTTATTACAATTTTGGGGCCAACGAGACGTTCTGTTGGTATACATGCTAATATCTTTAGGCATAAGTCATAAAAACATTGACTTGTAAAAATAAATCCGTCATTAAATCCATTTTGACTTTGTAAAAATCAATCGGTCTTATAATGCTTTCCTAAGCATAATGTTTATCATTTTCAATTATGCACCAAAACGCGGAAGGAATAGAAAAGGACTGGTATCTAAAGTGCAGAGATATATCACCGTTTACACAACGATGCACAAAGGTCCGTTTTCGTTTGACCACGTTTAGAAAATGTGCTCACACCTCTCCAGCAAAAGTGAAGTTTTGACGTGTGGTTGCACCTCTCCGGAAAAAATTCTGCTCCCGTGCTGTATTAACGGAACTTAGCTTAGTCACTTTTTAACGTTTTCAGAGCGATCCAGAGTTGTGTAAACGTAATCTTAAAAACGAGGTTTCCACGTACATTTACTACAGTGACAACGAGTAACGAGTTACAACTTACATGAACGCTATCACTTCAAACAGGGAACGGGGAATATGAGAAGGAAATGGGAAAGAGAAGAGAACGGGAAAGGGAATGGGGAAAGGGAAGGGAACAAGGAGTAGACAGAGAATGGATGGGGGAATGAGTGGGAAATGAACGGGGAATGTGCGGGGAATATACTGGAAATGAACCGAGACTACAATTGACAAAACTAAATTATTAGTTTTACTTATATAAGATATATGAATCCAAAATTACATAAGTGATATGATTAATATTATTAATACGGTCGAAATGACTCTGTCATTGGCTAGTAAACAGTATCTTCGACTTTTCCAACACAAATTGTAAATGTTTCGCCTTAACAACGTTTGTTGCGATTTTTAACGATTCTCAGTCTTATTTTCAGGAGTTTTAAAAGGCAGAAGAAGATTGGTGAGCTGTGTAAAGTGGTTTTGTAAATTCGCTAAAGATTGAGCCTTTTATGCTCGAAAAAATGTTGGTCTACTTCACTAAAAGAGAGCCAATTGTACGCTCTTTCAGATTTAGAGACACTGATCTTAACACACTCACTTATCCACTCAAGTCTTTCATCTCGCATACCTTTAACTGCAAATATCACACTTTTTCAAACACTTTAGGCCCGTTTCGAACGTCGTATTTTACATGAGCCGAGTGCATTAAAGAAAAAGGAAAGTGAGATAAATTCCCCATTATCTTTTGTTTTAAATGCATTCGGCTCATGTAAAATGCGACGTATGAAACAGGCCTTAGTTGTTAATATTGCACTAAGTTATTATGTTTGATTTTTATTAGGTTTGCCTAATTCCAAAAGCCTTTTTAATCTGGTTAGCTGAATGTACAATTCATTCACTTCTGACTGACTGGTTCTAAAGAAATTTGGTTATTTATTGTTTCGGCTTTGATATCAACAATAGTATTGCCTTGAAAATGTTTTATTAAAGTGTTATACGACAATAGATCTCAAAAAAATTTGAAATGGTTTGATTTAGGTAAACTGATTAAATGTTTGCAGTAATTCTCCATTTTTTTTAAATTTCGAACTGTCTAGAACTTATTTAGTCATTTCACAATTTTACGGTGTTACATGGTAAAAAAAAATGGTACAATGACATCAAAAACAAAGTGCAAGTTAATAACTGTCTTCACTTGTAACAAAACAAAGGCGATAACCTGATCTGCACATTCCATTCCATTTCCCGTCCACTCCCTGCTCATTCCCCGTTCTCTTCCCTTCCACTATTCCCTTTCCCAATTCTCTCTCGTTTTCTTCCCTTCCCAACTCCCCGTTCCCTGTTTTAAAGATAGCCAAACACGTGTACCAGAACAAACCGACCATGATTACTAGTACATATCAAACTGTATCAGTATTTCTGCTAATGGTAAAATTCTTCACTTGTATGATACAAGGGTAAAACTTTCTTGTAGTCTTACCATGCCTCAAAAGACAAAATTTTGATATAGGGCCAGTCCACATTTTAAATTTACAACGCGTTCTGCGCATGTCGTGTTCGATAACGTCATCAGTAGTAAAAAAAACAAAAGTTCTGAGTCATCGCAATTTCTCCGTATATTCTTATACAACAGCTAAAGACGATAGAAAAACTATATTACAACTTTTGCTTTTGAGCAATACATTCTTAAATATTCTACATTGAAAGTGTTTTAAAAGTGCTGACTCAGCACTTTTGTTTAGTGTTATTGCTCTTTCTCAAATACATTGGAAAAGCGCCTAACCAAGAACAGTAACGTTAAAATGATTTTAATGCGCTCATGTTATTGACAATCACCCCCACAATTACACAATTAAGTGTGCTTTGACGCATTTACAATGACTAGAACATTAACTTTTGCATCCGCAACGAATAAGTTCATAACAGACATCTTTAACTTGAGGGAGATTTGTCCGTTTTGGTAACCAAGAGCTTTCATCACGGTCCAGCCCCAACCTGACAGAGTGGGAATAGTCTGCTTTTTTAAAGCAGCACTTCCCCCAGAAAAATCCACTTTGCAACAACGCACGCTTGGTGTGCTGAAGCAACGCTTCTTGGGTTGGTTGAATGTTATCCAGTGTCCTGGACTATTTGCAAACAACTCTTCTCTAGCTTCATTAACTCTGATGAGATTGCTTGTACGTTCGTATAAGAGGACCACATATCGCTCAATCACTTGCAAAACATCGTATGAATCATAATAGAGACCTTATTTGATAGATAATACATGACTTTGGCAGTTTCTGAATTACCTGTAAGGACGAACAATCAATCCTTTCCGGTAACAAATTTAGTTCTTGCAACGCTAATGTTAGCTTTGGAAATAAATTCCATACATCCCATGCAGTTTTCTTTCCCCGACCTCCAAAAAAGGAAACAGTATCACACCCCGTAAAAGCGTGAAACAACGGTAGAACAGATGCCTTGTCAGGTCCGATAGTTGATGCAATTATATGCGCGGGAATATAACGTGAGTGCTTTCCTGTACCATAAAGAATCCATAATTCTTCTGCTTTGATGTTTTTCACAATTGAAATGGCCAGTATCAATACGTCAGTATCATTTGTTCTTACAACAATCCTCTGGTGGCCGCAGTTACTTGCATCTAACTCGTGCACCATCAATCGCCTGTCAGTCTCTTCACGATTCAATGATTCCAGCATTGATACTTCGGTTCTTTTAGGGAAGCACAAGACGCTTTCTTCAAATGTGCTGCAAATTTCTCTTCCTTCAGGATTCTGCTGAGAAATAAGTTTTTAAGTAAAGAAATTGAACAGATCCATTTTGTTGGCATCTACGCGCAGGAAGCCCTTTCAGTCAGTAGGGATACGTGCTGTCGATGAAACCTTGCGGCGTTGACCAATGCCACTCTTCTCCCGTGTGGTTTTTTTTCAGCGAATCTTCTTTGTATATATCCCACACTAAATCAATTCTTTTAGCTGATTGAAATTGCTTTAACACATAAGGAATGAAAGCAAACTGTGCGTATTCTTCAAACGCTTCCCAAGTTCCAGGTGAAATCATTTGAACAACAACAGCCCCATCTAAAATTATAAAATCGGGAGTTGGTGATTGAACTTTGGTAGTCTGCTCGATAGACTTTGTTAAGTCTGCTTTATTACCAGTACGCAAAATTCCTGCTTGCGAGAGAGATTGTGGCCATGGTTGGTTCTCATATTTAAGGAAATTATCGAGATCACCACTTCGATTTTGACTGGCTATATACAATCTTGAAAATAAAGCTCAGTCTAGTTTCAGAGTTTGCACTTTTACTTTATCTTTTGACTAAACTCTTTTAACAAATAGTTCTTCGCTCTGTTCTACCAAAGGATTCCCAATCGGTTGAAAATTAGGGACGACATTTGAGACATCTTTATAAAATTCACTTTGAATGGATGGAGTTTGCTCATGGTGTAGCTGACTGTCCACATGTGTACTCATCTCGAACTCCCTAATTCTTCGTGCAATTTCTGGATCTGCAATCATCCATCCCCTTAAAGCTGAAAGATTTTCGGTTAGTCCCACTGCACCACCTTCTTCTTTTAACTTGCTCGTGAGCATGATCTAATGCTATAGCTGAAAACTGTTTCTTCGGTTTATGCAACACAAACGAGCCCTTGGAGAACTGGTTAAATACGTCAGTATGTTTGAATGGAAGCTCCGACATATCGCGGATATGGACGGAAAGCCATCTTGTATAATTAGCATTGTCCAAAACAAACATCCACGGAACAATTTATTTAATTGACTGGAAGTATAAGGTGAAATTAGCTTCTCTAAATGATCGCTCTAGTTGTAAGCATAGTAATTCTAGTTCCAAAAGTCTGGTCCAATACAGAAACTGTGGATGATCCTTTGACATATCTTCTTTCCAAACGTGGAATTCTTTAGCTTCTCCATTGTCAACTTTCATGACATGCTCTTTATATGCATCTTGTTGTAGGTAGTTAAGACTGGCTGCTGTAACTTGATGTGCGCGTTTTGTTCTTGCCAAATGATTGCAAGCGATGAATGACTGTACAACACCTTGGTTAGATATACCTGCGTCAGTCAAAAATTTCGGTCCAGCCACTCCCATCAAGCCATTTTCCTAGAACTTTAAAAGCCGTCATCTCAATGTGTAAGCCACCAAACATTACGACAAATTTATCTTCTCCATGACTGTTTACAAGAGTCCATTGAATTTGCTGGGCTAAAGCAAATAGTGGCTGGTCTACGGCGATAACTGGAGTTTGAGAGTAGTAGACATGACGAACAGCTGATTGAACAACACTCATTGAGGGTAATATCATTGCAAATGAATGAGCATTCTCCCTAATCATTGGGAGAAGTGCAATGATTGCCGGTTCGTAAGAGGTTGACGACGTTTTTGATGCTCGATATGCTGCCCATAAAAAAGTGTCGTCCTTACTCAGGTCTTCCTTTTCAACGAGATGTCGCACATGTTCAAGCCAGTCTTCCTTTAGATCTTGCCTTTGGTTGACGATGGTAGATACAGTTTCCAAAGCGGTATGAAGTGGAGGGGCATAAAGTTCGCCACATGTTAGTTTCACTTGTGGGACATTACAAAATAATGGTGGCAGCTGTGAAATAGACGAATCAAATAAATCTACTTCTCTACTCTAATCATTTTCATGAACTGACAATCTTCGGAGAATTTTCCATTGAATGAGTTCTTTGCTTGAAATATGTCTCTTCTTATAATCATAGCCGCTCTTGCTAAATGCCATGCTTCCGAATCTTCTTCCTTTGCCCTTTCAAGAGCGTTTCCAATTTCATGTTTCAATACAAGTATAGGGTCTCTTCCTTGGATTTGAATCATTTGATCAGTAAGATTGTATTACTACTGTGGGCCACCGTAACAGTCGAGCAATAAATAGATATGGTGGTCCTATTATTGAACGCCTTTGTCTACGCTTGTCCGTAAATATCTGTGATTCTCAAACCATAATTAGCATCTTAGAATTAATTTAAATGTAATACATTTAAAGTTATGCAAACTAAATATGAATAATTATAACTTAATGTGTGAATTATTTCAATCTTTCCACTCACACATACTTAATTAATGTAAAAATTACGACGATATATATGGTACAAGCCATAGCTGAATGCGTAAAAACATACTCGTAGGAGATGCTGAGCAGCAAATTTTGTTTTCCGGTCCAATTTCATTGCTATTACACAACTTTGTTCACCGGAAACACGTATGCGAGCATACAGCAATATAATATGAACAAATGAACACTTAGAACTGAGAAATTATCATATCACATAAAATATTGCTGAGATAATGTGTAATGGAGTTTGTTGTTTTTTTGTACGCTAAATTTTTTACATTCATTTGAGTTGGCATGGTGGGAGTATCTTCGTGAACAATGAAAACTTCTATAGAATCGGTGTTCAATAAACGAAGTTTTGAGGCTGCTGTCGAATATTCTAAAAATAACAACGTTCAAATAGAATGTGGTAAGAAACTCGCTACAAATGCTGGCATAAAACGAGGTGACAAAATCTTAGATATGGGCTGTGGAACAGGAGAACTCACTTCATTTCTTAGCGAAATTGTCGGCAGAGATGGTTTAGTTGTCGGCGTTGATCCGGACTTCGGGAGAATTCAATATGCCAAACAAAGATATTTGAACATGCACGGAAATCTGTTATTTGAACATGGCGACAGTTCAATTAATTTTACCCAACGAAACAAATCCTACTACGATGTCCATTTTAGCAATTTCGTGATTCAATGGCTTTCTCCAGAAAGAAAGGAAGAATTCGGGCGAGTCGCTTTTCGGAGCCTAAAGCATGGGGGAAGAATTGCAGTTCTAAGTCACGAAGGTGACCAGGAAATGATAAAAAAAGCCGAAGAAATTATTTTCAAAAGTCATTGTTCGTCACTCTATCAGCAAGGTGACCCATTTAAAAGAGCTCGTCCATTCTTTATAAACAAATCAGAAACAGAAAGTCTTCTCATTGAATGTGGTTTTGAAATCTTTTCAAGTGAATATCACCCAGTAAATTATACGTACGCGTCGATCCTCGATTTTATTAATTTCCTTGTCGCTTCAGATTATAAAGATGGGAAAAAAATCTCGTCGAGTGGGCTAAATAAGTTCATGGAAATGTTTGGAAATGTTGATGGAAGTGTTGGTATATTCGATCCCACAGTTTACCAGATTGTAGCACATAAGATATAATTTAGATTTACAGCCACTTAGCTTTATATTTACATACGTACTCACTGCACGAAAGTAAAGATACAACAGATAAATTAAATCAATTTACGAGAAGGTGAAAATCATCATTACTTACTCGTGCTTATTTTAATTACATATGTGATTAACACCATGAATTAAAATACATACAAAATGATTTAGCACATTGTCCAGTGCATAATTAGCTTTTTTATTTTAACTGGCTCATTGATCTGATCGATAGCGCTCAAGATATTGTATTGTATTTCTTACAGCTTTTTTAGTAAGGTTGCTATAAATTTGTGAAAACCATAAATGATTGAACTTCTGTTTCTCTCTTAGTTTTGTAGTGGTCAGTATGATTAAACAATGGATAGTTAACCTTTTCTGGGGTAGTGTAGCAGATCTGCAACAATCAGCAACTGAAATGGCACGCAACGTTTGAAAAAATTTGCCACCAATCTTCTGTCTCTGCCATAACTGATCGATCTATGTTGCGCTTTCGAGTGCCGTTTCACCATAAGTGAAGATTTTTTGGTGAAATTATTAACTATAAGAAGACAAAGATTGTTTCTTATGTAAAAAAAACTCTTTTCAATGTGAAAAGAATACATAAGCAAGCTTTTAAGGTAGAATATAAGGTTTTTGATAAAAAGAAAAACATAATAGAAACCGAAGTTGCTTGGTGTGCGATCTTTGTCTCCCTTTCTCACAACGAGTCTGCGTTCGATTTACATATAAACGTTTTATTGGTAAACTTAGAACAACATTCTCAGAATGACTTCATCTAGACCTTGGCTCGTTTTCTTCTATTAACGCCGTTCTTTTTGCAATTTCCCTCTCATCACCATCAAGAGTCATGCAAATTTCTCTGCACTCCAAAAAACTTTTTAAAAGAAACTTCAGAAAATTAGTAGCTAAGTTATCCACTTTCTCTTTTAAAGTGAAGTTAAAATTTCAAAGGTCATGATGCAGTCCTTTTGTTTTTTTTTTCGTTTTGCACTAATTTTCCGTAGATTGCTACTATTTGTGTCTTAAAAAAATGCATAAAGTTATCTTCAGATTATATCGTAGCACATGATATCGATTATTACAGTCGCCTTTGAAGCATTTGCTGTGGTGGTAGATATTGACTGACAAAAAACTTACTAACTTGCAAGGATTTAAGTGCAAGCACTGGATTAGCAGATTGAGTTCAAATCAGTATCTGACGCACAGGAGCCGGTTACATGAAGCTTGGATAGAGAGTAAAATTTTCAAACTTGTAAAAGGTTCTTTTAAGCAATATTTTATTTCAATGATTGCTCAGCTCAAACCCTCTATTTTCCTTTTTAAGAAGTTTTTAACCGTTTAAAAAAATTGATATCTGATGGTTAACGCTATCCTGGCTCCGTGCACCCGGCCCATGGATATCATTTGGTCTCTACCGCATTTTACGCGGATGAAACAACTAAATTGTTTCCTAAATTTACAAGCAATAATGACAGGGTAAATTTATTGCTTCTAACCAATACAGATACACATTTTAATTCCTTATTTTAGTTCAATGCAAGTCAGAAGCAGCGCAAACATGAGCCACGTTAGAGATTATAACTAGTACAATAGCTATTTATTGCATGAAGTATTGAAAAAGAACAATGGCCGCGTTTAAGTATCAAAGAAGCAAAATTGTCGATGTTTGATGGCAAAATGCTCACCAAACTGCAGGTTTATACGCGTGACAACAAGTAAATTTTTATTCACTACATAAAAATCCATAGATTTATATAAATTAAACTTAGTGCCCGACTAATGGCAACGGAACTGCACGATAACTACTCACAGAATACGGCCTAAATGGCGAAAAATGGATTCTCGAGTTTAAAAATGCTTTTAATGGAGTTTAAATGGACTATGTATTCCATTTTTATGTGTATATCAAATACACGATTACTTCAAGTGATTTTACCCGATTATAGATTTACCCAAAGGTAATACACGATTACTTCGTAGACTCTTTTGACGTAAAAATCTAATTTTACGACACAATTCAACTGCGATTTATTCGGGAATATATTCGGTGGTTAGTTCGTAGGATTTAGTTTATCTTTACCATGTTGTCCAAAGCAGTTACAAATAAGATATGACGTGACGTATATTTAAAAGGAACAATAGAAATGATTTTAACTAGGCTTCATTCTTTTGGAGATTAAAGTTTACGTGTTTGAACGCTTTAAATGAGTACCATTAGAGCATAGAAAATATAATAGCAAATATAAGGTCATGTACCGTTTATAATTGGGCTGATCACTCATATTTACGCTTGGATATGATGTAACTCTAAATTCCTAGGAAATGCTTTCGTTGAAATACTTACAAATGCCCACCAAACTTAGTGAATATTTACAAACAGGACTAATCGAAAATAGGTATGAAACTAAGTTAGTGAAGGTTTTCACTCTTAAAATAAATACACTGCATGTCTTCTATAAGGACTTAACGAAGCAGTAGTGAGAAACTCTATTTATCTATTGTCATCCCAATGTTGAAAACAAGAAATATTGTTTGTATAGTTCGATAACATAACACTTTGATTTTAACCTGGTTATTTGTACAATACCTCCTTTAAAGCACATACCAGCATTAAAGTATTTAGCATTATTATTTATATATTGTATATATACAAGTACTACGTAATATTTCCAGGGAATACTTTAAACGAATTGCTAAAACAATAAAGATAAACTAAAACCTACGAGTCGAAGCCGCCGAGTAGGCGAGTATACTCCCAAAAAATCGCAGTCAAATTGTATTGTGAAATTAGATTTTTATATCAAAAGAGTCGACGAAGTAAGCGTATATTACCTTCTCTTTAATATAATTATAAAAATGTCAAAGATTGTCCACTTAAACTACATAAAAATCATTTTAAAACTGAACAATCCAATTTTGGCCATATTGTTCATAGTAAGATTCTCTCACTTTACTACCCAAGAACATGGCGACGGTTACCTCCGGCAATTGTCGGTGTGACCAAAAATATCAAAGGAGTGACCATTCCGGTTAGTTACATATTCTGTAGGCATAATAAACATGATAAGCATGACATCATGACGCATATTCACAATAGAACGGATATTCGTTCTATATATATAACAAACAAAACAACGGGATAGCCAAAATTTATTGCTAATATGCTATATTGCTTTTGCGGTGAAGCAAAAAATGGCACACTGAACGACAGTTCAAGTTAGGGTACAAGGTTATGTCAAAAGCACTTTTATGTAAGGTGCCTATCTGAGACTCTACTACCCCAGCAATTGGACATAAAACTCATCATTCCATAAACAAAATTGCAAAAATATGCGAAAATATGCCAAAAATTGAGAAATTCAAGAAGGCGAAAACAGACTGATGTAGTGATTGAAGGAAATGTTTTGCGTAGAAACTAACGAGAAAACTAATTATACATCATATAGCCTGCGTACGTTTACAAAGTTCAAGGATTAGTTATCTCAAATTTTATTGCTAACGAACGTGATCGCTTGAAAAACGTATAAAGGAATCAATTATATATTTACCCTTGTAGCAATGCATATACTCCTTAAAAAATTATCAATAACATACAAAAATTTTGTAGAGATGCAATGTAAATAACTAACATAAGATTTGAAGGATATGTTATGTAAATAAAGTAATTAACATAACAGTTACAAGATGCCATAATAACAATATCAAGGTGCATTGGTGTAATAGATTGTAAAAGTTAAAGACTGTGGTAATATTATCCAACGCAAAATTTATGAAAGCTACAATAGAAAAGGTTAATTTCGATACGATGACGGAACCTGGAAAATGATTTAATGTGTACAAACAAGTGAATGATAAATGTCCCAAATTTAACGATATGCAGAAGACTCTGGAAATACCGATCGCGAAGCATTTGATAATATAGCTTGCTGGCATATGACATATGCAAACCTTGTGCACCAAAAAGGTTACGATTACACTGTTCAACAATCCTTATAGTAAATGTTAGAAAAAGCACTTTAGATATGAGACAAAGTCCAATTGCTTTTAATTGCGAAATTATTGGCATTCCTATTATTTTTTGTTTTTACTAAACATTCTATAGTCGAATTAATTACTTGACGCTATACTTTGTACTTTCCTGGACACCTAATTTACAATCATCAGGAATACAGTTGCTTAATTTGCCTGCTTTTAAAATAACGTTGTTAATAACCATAAATATCTTAAAATTAAGAACGAGGAAGCAACTGAAATATTAAAATCAATTTTTAACAGCTTTCGCAGTCGTCTCCTGATATGAAAATTGCTCTTTAATCGCTTCTGCAGTCTTTCCTTGCAACAATCTGGTAAACTTTTTGGTCAACAAGATCCACACTGCCATCTCCGTTGCCGAAACGTGCCATAAATTCTTTTCTTTCACTGTTGGAGAAGTTTGTAGCGTGATAATGAGAAGCGCCAAAAAAGTTAAGGAAATCGTCTAGTGTTTCATAACGTTGTTTTCCAATATCATAATTACTTGAAATGATTTCAAAGCCCATTTCCTCAATAAGGGATGTGGTTTCAGCTTTAGACATAAAAAAATGAATCGGTTTCTTATCATTGATATCATTCAAAGCGTTCTGTCTCTTTGAGACAAGGCATTCCACATAGGCAACCATTTCCGGATAACCGTCATGACTCTGAAGAGCTAGTTTGCCCCTTGGCTTCAGACATTCAAAAGCCGCTTGCAAAAACTCTTTCTTTTCATCTGATGTAAGCCAATGAAAGGAAAAATTACTGAAATGAACATCGTAAAAGGATTTGTTTTGTTGTAAAAATTCACTTGAACTATCGCCAATTTCAAATGAAACGTTTCCATTCACTTTATAATTGTGCTGAATAGCGTGGTGAATTCTTTCCATGTCTGGATCAACACCGACAACTCGACCTTTTTTTCCTACAATCTCCCCAATAAACGAGGTCAGCTCTCCCGTTCCGCAACCCATATCCAAAATTTTATCGCCTTGTTGAATGCCAAGTGTTATTGCAAGCTTTTTGCCATAATGGAGTTGAAAATTGTTATTTCTAGAGTATTTTGCAGCATCCCCATAAATTTGTTTGTTAAGCACTGCTTCTAGTGATGTTATCATTATTTAGAAAATGAAATCAATGAGATAATTGAAATAAATACGAGCCACTTATTTTATATATATAAAGCCCAGCTACTTTGATTTTAAAGAAAGTATTGGCATCGGCTTGCAAATCTTTTATTGACTCGTGCACGTATACTCATGACGTCATAACAATTATAAACACTGAAAGTTACTATCGAAAGGAAAAATTTTCCTCTCTCCCCTTTATTCCATAAAGCAATCACAAGACATCATTTAATAATCTGAAAAATCATTTGTGTCGCTGCCACAGGCAATCTTTGTAGAGCTTCAATTGCTTTAAAAAATGAACATCTATACGACATCAAAAGACAGTGCATGTTGGCATTATTTTTCTACAACAGAAATACGTCTTCAAACAAAGAATAGTATGATGTCGACACAGTCACACTGAGTTAGGGAAGGGTCAACTATACATTTCTGCCTAAAAGACGTCAATATGACGTCTCTCACAATCCCCTCCCGTTCTTAAAGACGTCAGGCTCCATTAGAGGTAATTCTTTCACTATATACTTACTTTATTAATTTAATCTTCGGCGCTGATTATATGTGTGCATTCATACGCGTATAACTGGAATTAGTTGTTCAACAAACACAGCAATAAGCAACTCTCATAAACTGCATGTTTTTGTCGTAATTGACACTAATTAGCTGTCATACTGGCTGTCAAAATTCTTAATACTCAGTGTTTATGAGCGTATAATTCGAGAGAATTTTAAGACGTCATATCTTTAAGCCCCCTACCTCTCAGACGTCAAATTGACGTCTTTTTGGCAAAAACGTATATTTGAACCTTCCCTTAAAAGCTTAATGAAAGGAGGGTTTCCATAGAAAGGAGAGAACGCCATAGCGGTGTTATATAACATTTTTCGTACCGCGTTATCCTAATTGATAAAACATAGTGTAATTTTCTTTTAATGCAATGACTACAGTACTAAAAGAAGTGTTAAATAAACGATTATTCGAGGCTGCCAAGTCACATGTTTTTCATGTGCATATAAAAACCGTGTTAGGATTTATGTTATGCTCATTTATTTCTTGGGGCCACTTTGAGAACTTGCATTTTAATGATTCTCTATGGCGCTTTGACAGCAATAATTGGTTCTTCGACGTTTTAAACGAAAGTCGTGTTCTGAGCATATTGATTAACCAACTACCTAGTTAGGGAAGTTACGGTGTCTATAGGGGTAGTAAATTGGATCTCCAGTAGCACATGGGTAATGGTAAACTGCCTTTGTACATTTCATACAAAGTTATTACATCAGTATATGCACTTACGCACAATAACTCTATGACATCTCTTCCTCTTGATGATTTTTTCTCCAGTAGTTTTGTTAGAAGAATATCACAGTTTCTTTGAAAGCTGCGAAATGAAACACTTAAAGTATCGAAGTGCATGTAAATTGGTTTGTACTTATAACGAAGTACGTAACAATTTTAGTTTATGTGTACCAATGGTTTAAGTTCCCCTTTCAAAAAAACATGTTACTTGCGATATTAAATAAAGGTGTGATTTCTAACACATCAGTGAGAAAAGATTGTTGGAGGTTTACCACCTGATGCAATGCACGATATTCTGGAGGGTATGTTACAATACGAAATCAAAGAAATGCTAAAACATTACATAAAAGTACAGCATTACCTTACCTTGGAAGAGCTAAATAGTCGCATTTCCAGTTATGACTTCGAATATTATAACAACAAGAACAAGCCAACACTGATTTGTGAGCAGAAGTTTTCATTAAATGATAACAGTCTAAAAAAGCATGGTAAGGTACATCATCCATCCAATGTTCTATCATCCCAATAATGCACTTTATGATCCATATGCCCACAATGATATTGAGGTGATCAACACTATCATATTCTAAATAATAAATATGGGAAAGGATACATTAAAAAAATTCTAGGTTGTTATTTTAATTCTAATTCTAGTCATGGCCCTTTAGTTCATGCCTGGTGTATGCGGTACAAAGCTAAGCATGACTACTTTAAACGACTAGGCTCATTCATTAGGAACTTCAAAAACTTGGCATACCCTGTCTATGAGTCATCAATAATGGGTTACTTATCAGCTGCAAAGTGGAAATCATGAATCTTCATTTATTGAGAAAGCCCCAGAAATCCCAAAAAGTAAGTATGTTAAAATGTGCATATGATACTAATAGTTGGAACATCTAAAAGAAACCATTCCACAAATTTGATGATCAAGACATTCCAAATTGTAAACTAATGTTTTTGTGACAAACTACCAGGTCAAACATGTGAAACTGGTGACTTTGAATGTTAAAATCAAATAAAAGACCAAGAAAATGTGCATGGGGTAGGGGGCTTTAAGATGTCATGTCTTTAGGCCCCCTACCTCCCAGACGTCTCATATTGACGTCTTTCCTGCAAAAACGTATGTTTGAACCTTCCTTAAAAATCTTAATAAAAGGAGGGTTTCCATAGAAAGGAGAGAACACCATAGAGGTGTTATATAAACATTTTTCGTACCGTGTTATCCTAATTGAAGTGTTAAAGAAACGATCATTCGAGGCTGCTGAGGCCTATTCTAAAAATAATGATATCCAAGTGCATTATGGTAAAACACTTGCAATAACTGCTGATATAAAACGTGAAGACAAAATCTTGGATATGGGTTGCGGAACAGGAGAGTTGACTTCATTTCTTGGGGAAATTGTCGGCAGAGAGGGTCGAGTGGCTGGTGTCGATCCAGACTTTGGGAGAATTCAATACGCAAAGCAAAAGCATTTGAGCGTGAACAACAACGTGTTATTTGAGCATGGCGATAGTTCGACTGAGTTTATTCAACGAAATAAATCGTATTACGATGTCCATTTTAGTAATTTTGTGTTCCAATGGCTTTCTCCAGAAAGAAAGAAAGAATTTGTGCGAGTTGCCTTCGAAAGCCTAAAGCATGGAGGAGTAATTGCAATTCAGAGTCACCAGGAAGCTCCTTGCGTGATGAAACAAGTTGAACGAATGATTTTGAACGATCAACATTTTTCGTTTTGTAAGAAGGATGAAGTAAATATTAGACCGCTTCCATTCTTTATAAACAAATCAGAAAGTGAATCTATTTTAAGGGATTTCGGTTTTGAAATAATTTCAAATGACTTTTATCTAGAAACTTATAGGTATGCAACAATCCGTGATTTTGTCAACTTTGTCGTGGCTTCTGATTATCATGACAGCGAAATGCTTTCGCTGAGTGCGTTTAAAATGTTTGCGGAATTGTTTAGAAACGACGATGGAAGTGTGGACTGTTATGATCCCACAGTTAACCAGATTGTAGCAAAGAAGATATAATCCAGTTTTATATAGCAATATAAATATTTTCTGACGTAAACTGCATATAAAAACTTGTAATCAATGCATGGAGGAAAAAACATTGAATTATCGTCAAAAGTTTTATAAATAAGTTTTCAAAAAATTAAAAGCCCCATTTTGTTGAGAAAGTACGCCGTACACATCAGCTAAGCTGTGGATCGAATATCTCAATACTTCAATCAGCGTTTCCAAACATTTCCATTAATCGAAGTAGCCAACTTGACTAGAGTCTTTTCTTATCTCTTAAGTAACACATAAAAGTTGTGATTCAGCTGTATATTTATTCATGTAGACAATGTACAAAGTACCATCTAAATTACATAAAATCAATTTAAGTGCATGCAAAAATTATCATTATTTATATAAAAATTTTGGACGAGTTTTGCCATATGCCATCAATAAATATTCAAAGTTTGACCTAGGACAATGGTATCTGCCGAAGCGAGGATAACGTTGACCGACGTTCAAATAATTCTTGACATTAGGCAAAAGATGAATTCAATAAAATGGTTGTATTACACACCTCAACCAACTAAAATATTATTATAAAATATATCGACCCACAACATTTTTCAAAAACTGCGTAATTTTTCTTCAAGTTCTTCTTCTTTAAGTACGCTTAAAATATGTTCAAAGCCAGCTTTGTTGCTTTTTTAGCGTTTACCACATTCTTTTATTCAAAAGCTTTTGCATATCGTTTTTAGAAACTGTTGCCAACGTCAATATTTAACGATTTTCCTCAAAAGTTGCTTTTTTGGCTTCAGCAATGCAGTAAAAACTATTATTTGTAAGTGAGACGTTATACTTACAAATATCAAGATTTATTGTTTAATATGACGTCATAATTATAAAGGTTGATAAATATTTGCAAGCAGTTAAACAATCAAAATGATAATACTGCTTATCTTAATTGTACATCATACATTAAAGCACATGCAAAAATTTTTCACCCATGCTCTAGTGCAGGACATTCATATTCAACTTTTTATATTTTTGAATGGTTTCGCACAATCTGTGCGAAGTGCTGGTTCACTTTTCTCAAACTTTACACTAACGATGGGACTGTATTTTGAATATAATATTTTAACACTTCAATCAGATATTTACAGTCACCGCTGTAACCACCGCTGCAGGGATACGGCTAACCTGACGTTTACTCCTCATTTGACTCTGAAGATGATTACCGCTAAGGTTGTCGAAACGTCTGTCAACAACAACAAAAACAGTCCTTCTCAGGACTATACCAACCTGGACGATCTATATTTACAAACATGTAACGATACTCCCTGGTTCAAACCATTTACTTTATATTTACAGTGTTGTGCACGATTTTACGTTCCAAGCGTTGGTTCTTCGCGATACGTAATAAAATTTGATCTCGTTAAGATTACGAGCAACCGTCAATCCTAGAACTGCGTTTTTGAAATTTATTGCCTTCTGCAATACGACTCTAATTTATCAAATTTGTATGACCAGCTCATACACCAATCATGTCAACTTTTTCCGTACCCCAAACCAACGCTTGCAAGCTATATTTATATATAATTATTCGGAAGTGGTTTTAGGCGTTTACATATGACGCGCAACTTTGCCAAAAGTTGAATATTCCGTTTCTACCTACATCCTACCGTAATGACGCATTGCGGTGAGGAAGTGTTCTCTTAACATCCGTTGTGTCTTATAATCTATAATATGAAACAGTCACTCGCTACCTAATTTGACATGACAATTTACAACAAATGGCTCAGTATTGTGTTGATCGAAAACGCCTCAACAGATAAATAACTAGCGTATAGTATGATTGGTTGAAAAATCCATAGTAAATTTTTTTATTATCATTTAAAATTATATTCGTTTTCTGGTTGTTCTCAGTAGTTATTACGAATTAGTAATTGAAGCCTTTCCATATAACGGATATCTTCTAATAAATGGCCCCAAACATATAGTTTGATGTGCCTAAATGCATAAGCTGCTATTTGAAAAACGTTCAGCTTGAAATGAGTAGGACTACCCCCGATAAAATTTAGACTTTGCGTGAAAATAATATGCAAAAAAAAAGTATTTGATGAATTAGTGATAGAATTTTGCTCTTGCCCTTTGTTACCCAAGTCTGAAGGTGTACCTGGCATATTTAAGCCGTCTGTCAAAAGAGAAAATTCAATGAAATTAAAATATTAACGAATTCAAATTATTTACTGTAACTGCAAGTTCCACCAAAAATCAAAACGCATTTTGAACATTGAGCTCTATTCATCGAGTTCTATAATAACTGGAGCGGCTATCTCAATTATGGCACGCCAAACATAACAAAAGTGTATCGAGAATTCCAACCGCTAGTCGAGAATCATAAGTGACATATGAGAAAAGCAAGCATATGTCCAAATTTGTTTTAAACTGCTGTTGAAAATTATAAACGATACCTCAAAAAATTAAGCATTAGACGAAAAAAAGAAATGCTAGTTGACAAAATCAACCCTACGTCGAGATTTCTGACTAGCGAACTGGACAGCGGTTGCAAAACTTATATTGTAAATACTTCGTGTAACGGATACGTTAGAACCATTGAGTTCTATAATAACTGGAGCGGCTATCTCAAGCGCGACCTTAGATATCTGATGACGCCAAAAAATGGCGTATTTCGTCCTTTGCCGCTGAGATTTACCGAAATTGACCGCTTTTCCAAAAATTTTACAATTTCCCACTCCTCCCTCCTGAAGAAAGAGTGAGGAAAATGTATGTGTGTATTTGGGATCCGGCAAGCAATTTTTTGATGAAAATCAAGGTAAAAACCTTAAATTCATAACATCGAGTCAACTGTGGTTGTCAGTTATCCGCTCGTTCGAGGATGCATTTATAACTATCGACGAAAGAGCTATATGTCGGCTACACATGTATGAATGCAGATGTGCGCAATTTTTTTATCAGCGTCAAACTTGTTTGATCGATTAAAATCTTTAGTCTATACATAAAAGTATATCATAGTTCATCTCAACTGTTCACGAGAGAGAAGTTAGCTTATTTGTTATCATTGCTATTTTGCTTCTTTTCATGAAATGGGCAATGGCTTTCTTCGCTACAATTGTGGGATTTTTACTTGTTTCTTTAAAAAAGTAAATATTGAATCTCTGGATATTATCGGATTTTCTGAACTGAGTTTCATAATAAATTTCAAAATGACTCAAGTCTGCATAGGTTTGGTAAATGAAAGCAAACAATATTGTATAGAAATTACTTTAAGTACCCTTTTTGTGCTGTTCTGAAGTGCAACTGCATCAAATAATTGTAAAGTTGCAGTGCATTTTGATTTTGTTGTATTGATATATGAATTGGGCAAAATGCAAATAATCATCAAAACACTTATGCTTCCAATGGTGTTTATAATTCAATTGTGGTTTTAGTACTTTTACCCTTCTTTTGCACTTTGTTTTGTTTTTCCTATATTTGCAATATAAGTGCACAATTTGAATGATTAACACAGTTTTCACCTCAATAATAAATTTCATAAGCAGTTGGTAGTGCATTTTGTTCTCTAAG